TGCCGGTCTCTCAGTGGTTAGAGCATCAGCTCATGGAGGGAAGAGTCTGGGTTCGATTCCAGCCAAGGGCACCTACCTTGGTTGCAGGCTCGATGCCCCCTCCCCCTCGCTCTGGAAATCAATGGAAAGATGCCCTCGGGTGAGGATTAACGAAAAGGAAAAACAATTAAAAAGAAATGCAGGGTTCCGGGTTCGAGTTCTGTCTTTGGGAGAAGGAGCGGTCGGCCGCGGGGAGGATGCCTGGTGGGGGCCGTGGCCGAGGTGGGGGAGGGTGGCGGCAGCAGGGGCCTCGCCTGCCCCGGAGCCCTCCTGTAGGCAGGTGACGGCGGTGCCCGCTCTTTGGCGCCCCTGCTGCTCGCCCGCGTGGCCGCAGCTCCTGTGCGGGCTCCGGGGCTCGGCCGCCGTGCTCCGTGCGTGTGTGCAGAGTGAGGGAGGGCGGGCGGCCGAGGGCAGGCCTGAGGCTGGTGAGAGGCCCCTCCTGCCCGCTCGGGGCCGAGGGGCGGCCGGCGTGAGCAGGCAGACCCCCGGTCCCTCGGTGGCGGGCGGGCAGGCGGGCGGAGGGGGAGACGTGTCTGAGAGAAGCTCTCTGGCCCCCGGGGGCGGCTCTCCTGGCCTCCGAGGGCGCCGCTCCCTCCAGGGCCCGTCCCGCCCGGGTCCCCGCTCCCTGGCCACCCCCCCCCCCTTCCAGAGGAAGTCCCGGCCTCTCTGTGTCCCCCCACCACCTTCCAGAGGAAGTCCCTGCCTCTCCGGGTCCCCCCCCCACTTTCCAGAGGAAGTCCCGGCCTCTCCGGGTCCCCCCCCACCTTCCAGAGGAAGTCCCGGCCTCTCCGGGTCCCCCGAGGCCCAGCCTGACCGGCAGTGTCTCTGGGGAGCAGGGACACAGCCTCAGGCGCTGGGTGTGCTGCCAGGAGCCGGGTGCCCTCAATCACTCGCTGGCGATGACGGCTCGGCTCTGCACCAGCACCACCAGGCCGCTGGCATCTCAAAGGCTGGGCAGAGCCTTCCCCAGACCACCAGCCCCCCGGAACCCCTGGGCACCCGGGTTGGCAGCTGGGGCACCCAGAGCCCCCAAAGGCGGCCAGCTAACCGCCCCTGCCCCCCCTCCCCTGCAGGTCCTGTCCCCCCCTGCCCCGCCCCGGCCTCCCCTGCAGGTCCTGTCCCCCCCCTGCCCCGCCCCGGCCTCCCCTGCAGGTCTTGTTCCCCCTCCCCTGCCCCCAGCCTCCCCTGCAGGTCCTGCCCCCCCCGCCCCCCCGCCCCTGCAGGTCCTGTCCCCCCCCCCCGCCCCCCCCGCCCCTGCAGGTCCTGTCCCCCCCCCCCCCCCCCCCCGAAGGAAGCCGCTGGGAACGCCCGGTCTCCCTCCACCTCATGGCTCGGCGGCCGCAGGCGAGGGAGACTCCGCCTTCCCTTCAGCCCGTGTCTCCTTGGGCCGAGGCTCCCGCCAGGCCCCTCCGGCCCCAGCTCCGGCCCCGACCCAGCACCTCCCCCACCGCCTGTGAGGGTCCCGTTCCCTGGCTCGCGGGCCTCTTGGGCTCCCCTCAGCCCAGCCTCAGGGCCCTCTGCCTGAGCCAGCACCCCCGCCACCCCCTCCCCGGTGCAGCCCACGAGGGATTCCAAACGCTCTCCAAACGCTTGGCTTGGCTCATCGCCCCTGGCCAACCTCCGCCCTCTGCAGCGGGCCGCGGGCTGCCTCCTCCAGGTGAGTCCTCGCAGTGACCAGCCTGGACCTCGCCGCCTCGCAGCCCTGCTCCCGGCCCTGCAGGTCTCCCCCCCCAGGGCAGGAGGCAGCCCCCCGGCGGCACTTGGCCCCTGGGACCCTCCTCCCACATGCTGGCCTGGCACCCCAACCCCGGGCTCGGTGGCCCCAAAGGGGTCCGTCTGCCACCGCGCTGGCCAGTGTGGCCCACCCGCCCGCGGCCCGGGGCTGGGCCCCCATCTCACCCCCTGGAGGCTAGCAGTGCCACCTTGTTCTCTGCCTGCTGCCCCTGTGTGTTCACTCTTTCCCCCACCGTCCAGGCGTCACTATGGCAACCAGGCTTACCCACGGCATCCAGGGGCACTTGTGGGGGGGGCAGGATGGGGGGCCCTGGGGTTCCATCACGGGTCGGAGGTCAGGGGGCGTTATGAGGAAGCCTGGGTCAGGCGGTCACAGCCACCTCCCACTCACCCCGGCCGGGAGGGGAGGCCGCGCGGCCGGGGGACCGGACTGCAGCCGAGTCTCCTCGGCCTCCCCCAGTCGGACCAGGGGCCCCGGGATCCAGAGTCTGCGTGGCCACAGCTCCAGCTTCTTCCAGGGACAGAGCGAGGCAGCGTCCCTGCTCCCGGCACCCCTCAAGCCAGGCCCCGCGTCGAGGGCTCTGGGGGCACGGGGGGGGGGCCCTCTGGAACCCCCAGCCGCCCTCCTGTGCCCAGCACTCTGCCTGGGGCTGTCGGACGCCCTGCAAGGCTCTCCTGGCCTCTGTTACAGGACAGACAGGCCCCCAGGGGCGGGCAGAGGACGCTCTGGGGACCCCCTCGTCCCCGGGTCCCCCAAGCGGAGGGAGACAGACGGGCGTCTCCCTGCAGAACCAGGCGCCGGGCCCCAGGAGACAGGGGACTCGGGATGGCCCCCCTCCCTCAGACTCCACACGGGGGCCCCAGACGGCTGAGCCTGAGCCCAGCAGGAGCCGGGGGCCCCAGGGGCGAGGCCTTCGCGGGGGCCGGGGGAGGCCAGGGCTGGCATGGAGCCCTGTCTTCAGGGAGCACCAGGCGGTGGGGAGCCGGCACGGCCCTGGCACAGTCAGCCCCGCGGTGGGCGCCGGGTGCCGCCGGCTCAGCCAGGTCCGGTGAGCCTGAGGGGCGGGGAAGGTTTGGGAAAAGACAGAGGAGAGAATGGACGCTGGGTCTGGTGGGCCGCTGCCTCTCCCATGGGGAGAGAGAGCACACGGACCACCAGCCGTGTCTTTAATGGCCGATGCCCCGGGGCAGAGTGAGGGCGGATCAAGATGTTTATAACATTCTCCTGGGTTTCGATCCCACTCAACTGCATGCCCCGGATCCAGCGTGGTTTCCCTGCGGCCTCTGTCACTCAGCCCGAGGGGCCACGTGTTCGACCACAGGGTCAGCTCACAACCACAGCCGCTGGCTGTCGCAGTGCTGGGAGGCCCTGCCCTCCACGCTGGGCCCTGCATGTGGCTTTGCCAGAGAGGACTGTGCCCTCCTCAGTCCGAGCCTGAGCCTGTCCACACGCTGTGGCCGCGCCCCACACTGGGCTGCCCGGCCCATGGGTGCACCCAGCTGCTGGGAGCCAGGCGGGTGCTGGGCGTGGGTGGCAGGAGAGGAAGAAGGCAGGGAGCATAGTGGGGAGCCCCTAATTCAGCCTCCACTGGGACCAGGTGGCTCCTTGGGGAAGGGCTGGGCCGGCCCTGAAGTAGCCGTGCCCCCAGCCCCTCCGGGCACATCCTCCTCACTCCTGCCTGGGCCTCTGCCCTTCTCCCTACAGAGCACCCCCCCCCCCGTCGTCCCTCTCTGCCCCTCACTCCCTCACCGGGGCCTGCAGGATCCCACCCATTCCGACCCCTGCTCTGCTCTAACCAGGGAGGGGGAGAGGAGGAGAGGCAGAGAGACCATGAGAGGGAGAGAAATAGAGACAGCGACGGGGAGAGAGACACACAGGCGGAGAACAGAGACGCCGGCTCCACCCTCGACAGCAGGGCACCTGCCTCAGGCGGTCACCTCTCAGGGAGAGAAGTACCCACCACCCACCTCCGGGCAGCAGAGGCGCTTAGGGGAGGAGTCTGGCCACCGAGCCACCTGCCTGCCCTCCCCTGCCTCCCCTGCCATCAGGACGGTCATCACTTAGGAAGGAAGAAGAGGGGGGTTGGGAGAAGGTGACCTTTTCCTGCGGGGGTGGGGGGGCTGATGACAATTTGGGGGCCCAATGCCAGTGTTCCTGACTCTGGCTCGTTTCCTCCTCCCCAGGCGGCCCCTCCCGTCCCCGCAGGCTCCGTCCTCCTCCTCCTCCTCCTCCTCCATGCACCCCCACCCCGCCTGGGGTCTAAGTTCTCGGCACACCAGCCCTAGCCAGGTGGAGCTGGCACCCCTGCAGCCGCCCGCCCGCCCGCCCGCCCTCGTGCGCCTGGCCCAGCACCCGCCGGGCAGAGCAGCCCGGGAGGGAGGGCAGGGCCTGCGCCCGGAGGGTGGGCGGTCGGGATGGCACTTGGCTGGGTGCTGCCCCCAGGCACCCACCAACCCTTAAGCTGGGGGTCGCCGGGGTCGTGACCGCAGCTCCAGGTGGACGTGAGGGAGGCCTTCCCAGCGGAGCCTGAGCGGACTCAGCCAGGGGGCCCGGGCCTCAGGGACCTCCCCCCTCACGTGAGCGGCTCCTCTGACAGACCTCCCGTCCTCTCCACCGGTCCAGCTTCTTAGAAGCTCTGGCCAGCTCGCACCCCCCCCCCCGTGCTGGCCCTCCCCTCGGGGACCTGGTGCTCCCGGCTCCCCAGGCTCCGGTGGCCCCCATTCCATGCGTGTGAGCCCCCGGGAACGGTTAGTGACGGCTCCCCCGAGGCTGAGAGAGAGTTCAGGAACCTGCAGCCAGGCCTCCCAGGGACGCTCCCAGCAGGGGGACCTGCCTTGCCTGGCTCCCGGGGTGCCTGGGCCTGAGAAGTCCCCTCGGGCTTCTGTGTGGGCTGAGCCCTGGGAGTGAAGGGTTCCCAAGCCCCCTCTCCCCCACACTCCCCGGCGGCAGGGGGAAGGGCAGCCTCCTCCTCCTCCCAGCCCTCCCGCCTCTGCCGGCCTGAGGTGGGGGGGGCTGCAGGGGGCTGGCTTCTGTCAGGGGAGCCCCTGAGGCCCTTCCACCCTGGACCCAGGACCCAGAAGCTGCCTGTGGGGCCATGGGCTGTGCCCCCCGGTTCCCAGAGACCCCCAACCTGAGGGCCGGGGCCGCCGCCTCGCACCCTCCACAGCTCCGTTCCGGCCGAGAGAGAGAGAGAGAGAGAGAGAGAGAGAGAGCGCACACTCCGCCCAGTTTCAGTGTTTTATTAGCAAAACCGTACAAAAGGGTCTGTCTTCGGGGAGGCCTGGCCGGGCCTGGGTTCTGCTCCTGTGCAACCAGGGGGGTGGGGGGGGCGGGGGGGCACAGTGTCGCCTGCAGCTCAGTCCCCGCTCCGGGAACCCCAGTGGACGGGCGGAAAGGGGACCCCCAGACACGCCCTGCCCGGCAGACACAGGCCGAGGCAGCACCAGGTGTTGGGGAGGGGGGGTCGGGCCGGGCAGCAGCGGGCCTGGCAGAGACCAGCTCCAGCCCAGGAGCAAAGGCGTGGGGCGTCCCGGGGCGCCGGGCAGGGGCCTGCGCGGCCAGCCTTCGCCCAGGGCTGGCGGGAGCTCGGCAGGAGGAGCCGGTGGCCACACGGCGGCGGGTTCCGGGCTGGAGTGAGTCGGGGCCTGAGTAGCAAACCCCGACTCCAGCCACCGAGGCCTGGGGCCCGCGGGCTGGCAGCCGGCGGGGCGGGCACCTGGCGGCCTGCCCTCAGCCGGCCTGTCTTCAGCACCGCTCTCTCGGGGTCCCTCTCCTCGGGGTCTCCTCTCCGCACCCCCCTCTGCTGGCCGCAGGCATCTCCTGGGCGGCAGCTCGTGGGGGGGGAGGGGGCAGTGCCAGGCGCAGCAGCCGGGGCTCCGGGGAGCCTGAGACCTGGAGGAAGGAAGACACAGATGTCAGGGGGGCCGGAGGGGGAGGGGGAGCGGAGCAGGGGGCAGGAGGGGGTGGGCGGCGGTCTGTGGGAAGGGCCTCGCAGGCCCCGGGGGGACAGCTGAGGGAAGGGACCGGGGCGGGAGGGGGCTCCTTACCTGTGGGCGTGCTCCTGGCTCCGGGGCACGCTGCCACCTCAGCTCGTTTGGGGGCTGGGGCCGTGGGACCCTCTGCCCGCGCGGTGAGTCAGCCCGCTGAGCTGGAGCATGAATCACGGATGCTGCTGGGGAGAGAACATGGGAGCCGTGTGAGCTGGCTCAGCAAACTCCCCCGGCCCTGCCTCCCACCTGCCCCTCTCCCTCACCCGGGGTCTCTGCGCCCCACGCAGCCCTGGGGCCCGCCGGCTGGGGCGCCTCCCAGCCTCCTGGGCTCCCCTGGAACCATGGCCCTGGCCTGGGCGCTCCCTGCTCTATGGCGACCCCTGGTGGTTAGTGCCCAGCTGCAGGGGCTCACCTGAGGGGCCAGGAGCCGGCGCTGCTGCTGCTGCTGCTGCTGCTGCTGCTGCTGCTGCTTTGGGGTTGGGGGTCAGCTTGCTTCCTCCAGGACGGGAGTGGGCGGTCCTGTCCGAGGCTGGCCGGCTACCCTGTGCAGCCATGGCCGGAGGGCGCTGCAGCCCTGAAGCTGAGGTCCCCGAGGCACGGGCTGTCTCCGCTTCGGCTCTGGGGCGTCCCGAGCTCGGTGCCCGCTGCCCATGCCACTCGGAGGGGGAAGCTGGCCACAGGGCGCTGTGCGGGAGGCGGGAGCCGGGGCTGGCTCGCCGTGACCTGAGTGTGTGCTTGGGGGGGGGGGGTCTGGTGGACCAGGCAGGCCCAGGCCCCGAAGACAGACGGCGGAGGTGACGGGCAGGGTGCTGCAGGGAGAGGGGACTCTGTCCCTGTGTCCTATGGGTCAGGCTGGGCGGCCAGGCGCCGTCCCCCTGAGGGAGTCGGCCCAGCTGGAAAGTCCCGGTGGGCAGAGGCTGCGGGCGGGCACGGCGGCGAGGCCCTCTACTCGGGCTTGGCGCAGTCGCTGACGGCGGACTCGTTGGTGAGGGCAGGCGTGAGGGCGCCCTCGGGCTCGGGCTCGGGCTGGGCCCCGGCCTCCTCGGGGGCGGGGCGCGGGGCGGCGGGCTCGGCCTGCTCCAGGCCGCCCTGCACCTCCAGGCCGCGCTGGATGAGCTGCTCCAGGGTCTTGGGCAGCGGGTGGCGCAGGAAGCGCTTGAGCTTGGGCTGCAGGGTGCCCACCACGTACTGGATGATCTCCTCCTCCTCGGCGTCCACGTACAGCGTCTGGTACAGGTCGCGCTTGCGCCACAGGAACTGGTCGAGGGGCTCGCCCTGCTTCTGCGGCAGGTCCAGCTCGCGCTGCAGCGCCTCGCGGGACAGCGTGCCCTCGCTGTACTGCAGGAACTCCTTCTTGAACTGCACCCAGTTCTTGACGGAGCCCTGCTTGAACTCCCACCACTTCTTGGCGGGCCCGTTCATGTGGTTCCGGATCTGGGACAGCCAGTACTCCTCCGAGCCGCCCACCTGCTGCAGGTACTCCTCCAGGTGGCTGAGGAACTCGTGCGGGTCCTCGAACACCTGTGTGTCCACGCCGGGCAGCGGCTGCCCGTCCTCGCCGGGCCCCCAGGGCGGGTACTGCTGCGCCTCCTCGTCCTCCAGCGCCTGGCCCGGCGGCAGCTCGCCCGCGGCCGGCGGCGGCGGGATGGCGTAGGGGCTGACGCTGTAGTCGTAGCCGTCGGCCTCCTGGCAGCAGCCCTCGGGGCCGCCCACGCCCACGGACACGGCGCGGCCCGGCTCGCCGCCCGCCGGGTGCTTGGCGCCCGCGGCCTCCAGGCGGTCGGCCCAGCGCTCCAGGCGGTAGAAGACCTCGCGCCACACGTGCATCTCGCGCTTGACCCAGCGCTCCAGGTGCGCGATGGTGTCCTGGCAGCGGCTCAGGCAGGCCTTGATGGAGCGGCGCCAGCGCAGCGAGTCGCCGGGGGGCACGTAGCCGTCCAGGTTGCCCTCCAGCTTGCCCACCGAGCGGTGCAGCCCGCGGAGCTCGCGCTCCACCTGCTTGGACACCTCGGCCAGCAGGTGCCGGTGGGTGCGGCGCACGTGCTCCAGCATCTCGGCGCGGCACTTGCCGATCTGCAGCACCACGTTGGGCTTGGCCACCGGCCCGCCGCGCGGCGTGGGGTAGGCGTGGAGGCCCCCGGGCGTCCTGTGGTCCAGCTCCATCGGCGCAGGGGACCGGAGGGCGGGCGGAGCGTCCTCTGGGGCGGCGGCGGCGGCGGCGGCTGGAGGAGCGGGCGCCGGTGCGGCGGATGCAGGAGGACGGATGGAGGGTGGGTGGGTGGATGGGTGGATGGGTGGATGGTGGATGGGTGGATGGGTGGATGGATGGATGGATGGATGGATGGCGGCGGGCGGAGAGGCTCGGAGGCTCGCAGGAGCGGTGAGACCGGTGAGGCGGCCGCCGAGCTCTGCAGCAGCCGCCGCGGCGCCGCTCTTTATGCCGCCGGCGGCCGTGGGCGGGCCCTCGCCGAGCGCGGCCTCCCATTGGCCCGCGCCCCGCCCGGCCCGCCCCCGCGCCATCCGCCGGCGGAGCGAGGACCCGCGCCCGCGGCCCCGGTGACTCATCCCGTCCTCCGCCCCCTCCCGCCGCTCCGCCGCTGCAGCCGGGCCGAGCGGACCGCGACCACCCCCAGGCGGGGCGGGGCGGGCGGCGCGGGGGGCAGGTGTGCGCCCTGAGAGCCGGAAGCGCGTTAGCCCGCCGCCTCCCCTCCGCGCCCGGGGCGGGAGGGGGCCCCGGGCTCAGCGCCCCCTGCCCGGAGGGGAGGTGCCGCCCGCCCTGCCCGGTGAGGCCGCGATGCTCAGCCACAGTGAACCGACCCCCCATGCTCAGACCCCCCCGGAGCTGAGGGTGCCCAGGCGGGGCGCACACCCCGGGGTCAGGCCCGGAGCCCCTGCCCGCCCAGCCCTGGGTCCTCCGCGCCTGTGGGTCCCCAGGCCTGGGCGCTGCCCCCTGGCACCGGTGTGGGTGTGAGACGCCTGACAGCCCCTCCCTGGCCTCGGTGGGGCCTGAGGTTCCCCCAGTGCCCCCAATCTGGAAGCTGGCCGGGGTGCGGTGGTGGGGTGGGAGGGGAGGCGGGGGGGGGGGGGGCCTGCGCGCACTGCAGGGCTGGGCCCTGAACCCAGGCGGGGGAAACCTGTCATAAGCGCCAAGAGGCTGGCAGAGGGAGCGGGAGGAAGGAGGGAGGGGGCAGGAGAGGGAAAGCGGCGGCAGAGCACAGAGCAGAGCGAGAACGCGCCTTATAAGGAAGGCGTGGGGCTCCGGAAGCGAGATTCCCGGCCTCCCTGGCAGCGCGCGGGGACGTCCTTCCTGGGTGACCCGCCGGGAGGGTCTGGGCCCCGTCACCTGGCACACCACCCCCATGGCCATGCAGACACCCCCTCCCCGTGCCGCCCCCGAGCCGAGCCCCTGCTGCCGGCCTCTCCCTGTCCCTCTGCCACCCCCCACTGCACACTCATCCCCCCGTCATCCCTCCCCACACAACCCCCCACAGACACGCATCCCCCCGCACTGACATGCATCCCCCCACACTGACACGCGTCCCCCGGTACACTCACCCCCCGGTACACTCACCGCTCCCCCGCCCCCCCGCTCTGGCTTAGTCACTCGCGGGGACACGGCCCTGGCAGGTGCCCACGCTCTGGAGTCCCCGCTCCCCCCAGCCCCTCCGCCAGCGGGAGCCCTCCTCCCACCCCGAGCCAGTCTGAGCTTCCGCCCCTGCTTTGGACCGGGAAAGTCTTTCTGGCAAAACCTCCCCAAAAATGGCTCTCCTGGCATTTCTAATTTCAGGCGAGTGGGTGGGAGAGGAGGGGGCGGCGGCAGCCCTCCCAGAGCCGGGATCCCGAGCTCAGCCGGCGTTCCCGAGCGGGAGCCGGAGCCGGAGCCGGAGCCGGAGTGGAGGAGGCAGTGGGCCGCTGGGGTGAGTGGCCGGCCGGGTGCTGGGAGCCGCGTGGAGGGCGGCCGTGCCCCCGTCTGCAGGAGCCCGGCCCATGTCCGAGGGCCTGGTGGGGGGAGGCCCCCCTGAGCCGGCGGGCAGGGACCGCGCACCTCCCTGTGCACACCACACGCGTGTGCGGTGGGCGTGCCAGAGCCAGCACCCGAGCGGCCAGGAGTCACCCCCTAGCCCCCTCAGGTCCAGGGCCTCTGACCAGCTGGGTGGCCTGGGCCAGGGCGTGGCTCCGTGTCCCAGGACCCACAGTGGTCTCTGCCTCCTCCTGCCCCACCACGGCAGCCGTGTCTGCACCCAGCCAGGGCCTGGGGGGCCCAGGAGGGGAGGATACTGAGGGGGGAGCCAAGGTGGGCAGTGGGGGGCAGGTTAACCATCACCTGTGGGGCAGCGGGCCTGGGGGTGGGGTGGGGGGAGGGAGCCTCCAGGTTCGGTGGGTGGCCCCTCCCAGGCTGGTCCAGCAGCCGGGGAGGGCGAGGCTGCGGGCCTGCAGGCGGCTGCGGAGGCTGCTGGCGGAGCCGCAGGACAGACAGAACGGCTCTGTGCTGGGGAACGTGTAATCTGGCGTAATTATCGCCCCAGAGGCCAGCAAACCCGGCACTGGCCCTGGGGCTCCGTTCCCCCCCTCCAGGCCGCTCCCCCGCTGGGATGGGGTCTGCCCGCCTCACCCTGCCCCTCCGAGCAGCCCTCCCCTCCAGAGGGCAGCCCTCCCCGCCTCACACAGGCAGGAGGGCGGATGGCAGGAGAGCTGGCCATGCAGGGAGGGGAGGCCCGGGCCCCTCTCGGAGCCCAGCGCGTCTGCGGTCCGGGCCTCACCACCGCCGAGGCCTGGCCTTAGGGAGGGCTCTGCGGGGAGGCGGGCGGGCGGGCAGGGTGAGCACAGGGCTGCCCAATGCCGAGGCCAGTGGGACCCACTAAGACCCCCTGGTCTGGCCTTCTGCCCGGGGCTCCTCTCAGGGTGCCCGCCCCACCCCACCCCCCTGAGCTGGTGCCTCCCGGCTGCTCTGTGAGCGGCTCGTCCCCCACAGCGCACACCCTGTGGGGACCCTCCTCTCCTGTGGGGGCTGCTCCCTCCTGGCTGAGGTCCGCCTCAGCGGTCAGCCCTCCCCCCGCCTGGGCCTGCGTCCGGGGTTACCCTCCACAACCGGTCTCGGCCACCCCGTGGGGCCCGCCATCCCGGTCCGGGGCCTCACTCCTTGGCCCCACGCCTGCGGGGGCTGGCGGGAAGGACCAGGCCGCCCGGTGCCCGCTGCCCGCTGCCCACCGCAGGCCCAGCGCCGGCCGGCACTGCTGGAGGGCAGGACCTGTGCCCCTGCTCCTGCCGCCTCCTGCGGGGGCTGGCCTCACAGCGAGCGGCACAGAGCGGGCCTTCAGGAGGGTCAGACCTTAAGCTGGCTCCCCTGAGCCTCAACTTCCCACCTGTGAAATGGGCGGCAGTGCCACAGCCACATGTCACTGAGGCTGAGGGCAGGAGTCCCTGCCAGTGTCACCCTTCCACAGGATCCCCCTGTGGCCCCCTTCCTGCCGCTCGCCCCGCGCCCCCCCGCCCCCCGCCGCCTTCACCTCCCGGGGCACACGGGGCAGGGCCTGCAGGGGTCAGGGCGTCCCGATTGTGGGCCAGGTCCCGAGACAGGAGGGGCCGCACCGGAGGCTGGGCCCCGGGGAGGCTGGGCCGGGGGAGGCCGGGCCCCGGGGAGGCCGGGCCCCGGGGAGGCCGGGCCCCGGGGAGGCTGGGCCCCGGGGAGGCTGGGCCGGGGGAGGCCGGGCCGAGGGAGGCTGGGCCCCGGGGAGGCTGGGCCGAGGGAGGCCGGGCCCCGGGGAGGCTGGGCCGGGGGAGGCTGGGCCCCGGGGAGGCTGGGCCCCGGGGAGGCTGGGCCGAGGGAGGCCGGGCCCCGGGGAGGCTGGGCCGGGGGAGGCTGAGCCCCGGCTGGGCCCCGGGGAGGCTGGGCCCCGGGGAGGCTGGGCCGGGGGAGGCCCGGCCCTGGGGAAACTGGGCCCTGGGGAGGCTGGGTCCCGGGGAGGCTGGGCCCCGGAGGCACAGGAGCCGGGAGAACATTCCCTCTGCTTCCTCTCAGCTTGGCATCCTGTCCCGGAACAGGCAGCCGGGCCTTCTGCGCCCCACTTCCAGACACCCCCCCCCCTGCCTCCCGCCCCAGCGCCTTCCGGCGCAGCCTCCGAGGAAACTTCTGTATTTTTCCGGGGATCCTGGCACGGGGTGCTGCCAGCTGCTCCCTACATCCTCAGGCGGCCCCCGCCCCCAGACCAGGAGGCTGAGCTGGTCCTCCCAGGGCCCTGCCCCCCAGCCCTAGTGGAGGACAGGGAAGCCGAGGGGGCCGGACCCGCAGCGGGAGGCCAGAGCCGGGGGAGGGAGAGGGTGCACAGGGCCGTCTGCCTGCTGCGCCCTGAGGTGGTCAGTCAGTCAATCAGCAAACAGCCCCCAGGACGGGGCGAGGCGGGCGCAGGAGGTGCAGGCCGGAGGGCACGGGCCTCGCCCACAGCCCAAGCTCCTCGAGGGCTGCCCTGGTCCCCTCGGGCCGGACGGGAGGAGAGAGACCCCTGCCGGGCTGAGGTGGGGATCCCACCGAGGTGTGGGGGCCCGGGGAGGCTGGCACCGGAGGCCGAGCAGGGGAGGCTGCTGCAGGGTCGGGCTGGGGGGTGGGGGCGCTGGGTCCTGTCTCCAGGGCAGGAGGGGAGGGGAGGGGAGGGGTTGCTGGGCGGGACGCTGGGTCTGTGGCCGGGAGGGGCACAGGGGCCGCAGGTGCAGCCCATGGGGAGGCCCCAGCTGAGAGCCAGGTGGGGGGAGGGCCAGCTGAGAACGGTCTAGGGTTGGGGAAGGGGAGCCAGGGCCGGCGGGCAGGTGAGGGGGGAGGCGAGGCCGCACCAGGAGCAGCGGGGGCCTCCTGGGGGGGAGGGCAGCTGCCCCTTCCCCTACCCTGGGTGCCCGGCCTGGCTGGGTGCCGTGCCCGGTGCCCAGGGCCCCAGACCTGCTGCCAGGTCCCCCCGGGCAGCCCCTCAGCGGGGGAGGGGGTCCAGCCGGCTGGCCCCGGATGCCCGGGACTGCGGCTCGGAGCAGTGCAGGGAGGGGCGCCTGCCTCCCGCTCCCCGCTCCCCCCCCCGGCTCTCCCGCAGCTTCCGGAGCCATAAAAGGAGAGAAGCTCAGGGAACAGCGGTGACGGAGACAAGGCTCCCCACGCAGGCGCCCGCCCGCCGCCCGCCGGAAGCAGCGGGAATGGTGGCCGGTGCGGCGAAGCCGGGGCCCCCACCGCTGCTGCCCTCCCCCGCCGCCTGCCCTCCACCCCACCTGCCCTCCGCCCTCTCCTGCCCTCCGCCCCTCCTGCCCTCCGCCCCACCTGCCCTCCGCCCCACCTGCCCTCCGCCCCCTCCTGCCCTCCCCCGCCGCCTGCCCTCCGCCCCCTCCTGCCCTCCGCCCCTCCTGCCCTCCACCCCACCTGCCCTCCACCCCACCTGCCCTCCACCCTCTCCTGCCCTCCGCCCCCTCCTGCCCTCCCCCGCCGCCTGCCCTCCGCCCTCTCCTGCCCTCCGCCCCCTCCTGCCCTCCCCCGCCGCCTGCCCTCCGCCCCACCTGCCCTCCGCCCCACCTGCCCTCCGCCCCCTCCTGCCCTCCGCCCCACCTGCCCTCCGCCCCACCTGCCCTCCGCCCCACCTGCCCTCCGCCCCACCTGCCCTCCGCCCCACCTGCCCTCCGCCCCCTCCTGCCCTCCGCCCCACCTGCCCTCCGCCCCACCTGCCCTCCGCCCCACCTGCCCTCCGCCCCACCTGCCCTCCGCCCCACCTGCCCTCCGCCCCACCTGCCCTCCGCCCTCTCCTGCCCTCCGCCCCCTCAGCTGCCCGAGCGTGCTCCGCCCCCAATCCTGGCGGAGGGGCCTGGCGCGGGAGGGGCCGCCGACTTAAGGACAGCGGGGCCCCCAGCACTGCGGGGCCAGGCCGGCACAGCCTCTGCCAGCAGGTGGACTGGCCGGGAAGGGAGCGGCCCAGGGCTGGCAGGTGCGTGAGGGGTGCAGCGCTGGCGGGGCTCACCCCTCCCTGTCTGACCGCCCGGCACCCCCTCCCTCCCCTGGCTGGGCCACCTTCTAGCTGCCTCCCGCCCGCCCACCCGCTTGGACAGGCCACCGGCCACCCAGTCCAGCCAGCCGCGCCCTGGGCTCCCGCCCTGGCTGCCCAGGCCTCCGGCCCCGACTCCCTGCCTGGGAGCAGAGTGGACACAGGGTGGTGGGTCCCCGGCCAGAGGGCGGAGCGAGGAGGGGCCCTTCACCAGGCACCTCCATCAGCAGGAGTGGCGAGGGGCGCCAGCCCCCCGGAACGCTCGGCCTCTGCTGGACCAGTGGCAACAGGCCCTCGGGTCACAGCCCAGCCGCCCGGTGAGACCACCCTGCCCCAGTGGCCCCAGTGGCCCCGGGCCTCTGCATCCAAGCACAAGGCCACCAGCAGCCGGGGACTGGCGTCGGCTGAGGGGCCGCTGGCAGGCGTGGGGCAGGGTTCCAGGACGGCCCGCAGCTTCCAGGCCCCGTGGGGGGAGTGGCAGGTCCCTAACCCAGTGCGTCCCCAGCAGGAGGCGCTGACATGAGCCCGCTGCTGCCCATGGTCCAGGCTCTGCCCCGAGTTACAAGTGCCCCTCATACAAGCGGTCAACACCGGTCACAACCACCTCCCCACCCCATGGCCACAGCCACGACCCCCTCACCTCCACCACCACCACCACCACCCCATCACCATCGACATCACCACCACCACCCCATCACCACCACCCCATCACCACCAACATCACCATCACCACCCCATCACCACCACCCCATCACCACCGACATCACCATCACCACCCCATCACCACCACCCCATCACCTCCACCACCACCCCATCACCACCACCACCCCATCACCTCCACCACCACCACCCCATCACCACCGACATCACCACCAACATCACCACCAACCCCCCATCACCACCACCCCATCACCTCCACCACCACCCCATCACCACCACCACCCCATCACCTCCACCACCACCACCCCATCACCACCGACATCACCACCAACATCACCACCACCACCCCATCACCACCAACATCACCATCACCACCGACATCACCATCACCACCTCCACCACCACCACCACCCCATCACCACCGACATCACCACCACCACCAGCAGCATCACCATCACACCTCCATCACATCATCACCATCACCTGCACTTCCACTCCCACCACCACCATCACCCTGCCCCTCCCGCTGCCCCAGCCGCGGGCCCCACCACACACACACACACACACACACACACACGGGCTTCGGGCTGAAACATTTATTCTCAGTTCCGAGGCTGGAAGTGCCCCGGCCCCGCCCCGCAGCGCGAGTGACTCTGGGGAGGGCCCGGCTGGTCCAGGGTCAGCACTGTCCCGTCCTGGAGTCTCTAGAAGGTTCCACCTCACTGGAACCGGCAGACACCACGCTGGAGAAGCCTGGGCGGCCCACTGGCGGCCACCATGGGCGAGGCCGCCGGCCGCCGGCCCCCGGCCCCCCAGGACAGCCGTGGCCAGCGTGCGGCACCGGCAGGCTGGGCGGGGGGCGCTGTGGACACGCCGACCGGAGCCGCCCCACCCCACCCCTCCTGCCCACCCGGGCCCCACGTCCCTGACACAGGCCCCCCAGGTGCCGCAGGCCCGGCCCCGCCACGAGGACCGTCAGTGTCCTGTGTCCCCCGTGGCTGCGACGTGGTGGCCACCGCCGGCCCCTCCACGGGTCCCTGCCCGGCCGCTCTGGCCACCTCCTGGGGGCCTGGGTCGCCCGGCCTGGGCCACGGTGCCGGTCACTGTCCAGGACGGGGTGTGTGTGTGTGTGTACCTGTGAGGCCCACCATGCAGGCGGCCGCTCCACTCCTCCGCATCAGAGCAGGCTCTGCTGGCCGGCGGGCTGTGCCCCCACCACACCCACCAATCCAGCCCCCAGCTCCCCCCCCCGCCCCGCCCCGGCGGCCGTGGTGGCCCTGGCCTCCCTCTCCAGGTCCTGGCCCCAGCTCCTCCTCTCCTCCCCCGTCCTCCCCCCGTCCTCCCCCCCCAGCTCCCCCCCCCCGCCCCGCCCCGGCGGCCGTGGTGGCCCTGGCCTCCCTCTCCAGGTCCTGGCCCCAGCTCCTCCTCTCCTCCCCCGTCCCCCCCCCCCCCCCCCCCCCCCCCCCCCGGCTGTGCAGCTCGCCCGCCGGCGCTGACTCAGGCGGAGGGGCCTTTGTCTGGGAAGCAGGCACGTCAGGCCCACGTCATCCGGCCCACCGCGGCCTGACGCCCCGCCCAGCCCAGGGCGGCCCCGTGCGGCGGCGGGGGCTCCGGGGACACAGAGAGAGGAGGGCCCCCACCTCCCGTGTCCCCCCCACACACACACCCCTGCAGCCAGGTGAGGCAGCTGCTGGGAGAGCACCGCCCGCACCGCCCGCACCGCCCTCTCCGTAAGCGTCAGAGTCCCCGGGGACCAGGGCCGACCCTCATCCAGAGCGAGAGAGGCTGATGCCTGCAGGCCTCGGGGTCCTGGGGCCCCCAGGGGCCCCTAGCAGACTGAGCCCGCCACCAGCAGGCGGCTGGGCTCGCCGGTCAGGGAGCGGCTGGTCTCGAGTGGCCAGTGAGGCCTCTGAGGGGGGGGACCCTGATCCATGTGGTGAGAGGGACAGGACAGACTGGACAGAGGCTCTCCGAAGGGCCTGATCCCACCCCACAGGCTGGGCAAGGGGACCTGGCCATGCCTGGCACTCAGTGGGCTCAGCCTGCCCACCCCTCCCTGCCCGCCCGCCCCCTCCCTGGATTCCCAGGCAGTGGGCAGCGGGGTCTGTCCGGGCTGCCGAAGGGGAGGGGAAGGGGAGGGGACGACGTGGGCACAGCCCCCGGCCCCCAGCTCGGGTGGCCTCGAGGCTCTGCAGGTCCCATCACCGCCCTCCGTCCGTCTATTGGGGTAACACACCCCACGTGAACACACGCGGCCCGCCAGCCGCCCCAGCCCCGGGCAGGGCCTGTGCCCGCCCTCAGGTAACGGAGGACAGAGGCCGGTTCTGAGGAGCAGGCGGCAGCCGCGGGCCCGCAGGCCATGGGAGCCGCCGCCGCCGCTGTGCCCGCCTGGGGCTCTCCGAACGTCCGTCCTCTGCGCTGGCCGCAGCTCTCCACGCTGGCCAGCGCCCTCAGCGGCCAGACCCCGGTGGGCGGGCTCTGTGGGGGCGGTGGCCCCCAAGGGACAGGCCATCTGTGCGCAGGGAGGAGAGGAGGGGGGGCCCCGGGGGCAGAGGGCTGAGCAGTGCAGTGAGGCCGGCCCCCCTTGGGTGGGCAGGTGGGGGCGGACCCAGCACGGAAGGCGCTCGGAATGGCACAGCATGTGGCCCACGTCTCGGGGACCGAGTCTGGGCGGGACGGGTGCTGGGAGCCCGGAGGTCCCCTCAGGAAAGACGCGGGTGCCGCAGGACACCAGGCTCCCGTGGGACCGCGAACAGCTGTCCACCGGCCACAGGAGGCCCTGCTGGCGACCCGCCTCGGCCCGTGTGACACGCACAGCCACCAGGCCCAGGCCAGCGGCACCCGAGCGGCGGGGCCTGGACCAGCCTGCGGCCGGGACAGCAGCCCGGCCATGGTGGCCTGAGCGCCCGCTCCCCGCTCCAGGGGCCCATGCTCTCCACACTCTGCGGGTCAGACCTCTGCGCGAGGTCAGAGCAAGGCTCAGCCCCCAGCACCAGGCAGACCCGCCCAGGCCCTGGCTCCTCCCGTTCGCTTGACGGGACGGAAGGCAGGTAACAGAATGGGACAGCTCCCGGGGACAGCTCCCGCCGCGGCACCACGCGGCCAGGGGCCCGGTCAGCTCTCGCCCGCGGTGCAGGGCGCGCAGGCCGCGGGGGCGCGGCCCCCCCCGAGCGCTCCCGGGGGCCCTCGGGCTTGGCCACGGCCCTGAGGGGCGGGCGCCACCGCCCGGCGAGCTCGGAGCGCAGCGCCCGCAGCTGCCCCAGCTCCGCGCCGAGAAGCAGGGCCGGGCGGCGGCGAAGCGCAGCACCGTGTCGAAGGCCGCGGCCGCCCGCTCCCGGGACGCCTCCTCGCCCCGCCCGGCAGCCCCGGGGCCCCTGTCCTCCTCCGTCTGCTCCGGGGGGCGCTTGGCCGGACGCCCAGCCCCGGCCGCCAGCCCCGGGGCCGCGCTGCCCTGCAGCCGGCCGCTCAGCCGCGCCCGGACCCGGCCCCGAGCTCCGGGACGTGCGCGAAGGTCTGGTCGTGAGGCCTGGCTCCCGGGCGCTCGGGCTCCTCCGCGCAAGAGGAGCCCTCGGCCGGCGCGGCTGAAGAGGCGGCGGGCACGGCGTCCCAGGCGCAGGCCACGCCGCGCGCCGGGCAGCCGGGCGGCGCCCCCGGGGGGCTGGCGAAGCTCTCCAGGAAGCCGCGCCGGGTGCCCTGGTCCATGGGCTGGAGGAGGGCGGCGGCGCCGGCCGGCAGGAAGACGGTGAAGATGCTCCCGGCCACCAGCTCCGACGCCGGCGGGTGGGCCTGGGAGCCGTCCAGCAGCAGCACGGCCTTGCTGTCCGCGGGCAGCCCCAGGGCGCGGAAGCGCTCCCGCACCGCGGGGGCGAAGGTGTGGTGGAACCAGCCGGCCAGCACGGCCCGGCCCGCCCACGCGGTCCCCGACGCCCGGCAGGCCGCCGGCAGGTGCTGGGTGCCCCCGGGGGCCCGGGCGCCGCCACACTTCCCGACCACCAGGGGCTTGATCCTGTGGGAGCCCGCGGCGTTGGCGCACACGAGGACGGTCAGCCTGTCCCGGCCCTGCCTGCCGCCCGGCGCCGGCTCGCCCTCGGCCGCGGGTTCCGGCCGGCGCTGTACACCTGCTCCGGAGTGAGGCCGTGCTCGGCCGCCAGGCCCCGGAAGAACCCGCAGAACCGCTCGGCCGCGTGGCGCTCGGCCGCCTGCCTCTCCCCGGCCGCGTCCAGCCTCTGGATGCCGTGCCGGGCCTTAAAGCGCCACAGCCAGCCGCCGGAGAACACACAGGGCTCGGTGAGCCGCATCTGCGCGTACAGGTCCTTGGCCTTGGCGATGAGCGTGGGGCCGGACACGGGCAGGCCCGCGGCGCGCCGGCCCACAAACCAGGCGTGCAGCGCCCGGTCCAGGCGCTCCAGCCGGGGCGTGTGCAGCGTGCGCCGCCGCTCCAGCGCGAGGCCGCAGGCCGAGCCGGCCAGGAAGCGCAGCAGCCGCGCCTTGTGGGCCCGGATGTCGTAGAGCGTGGACATGCCCACGTTGTACTCCTGCATCAGCGCCTTCCGGCTCTCGCCCTTCTCCAGCCGCGCGCACACGTCCATCTTCTCCCTCAGGGTCAGCACCACCCGCTTGCGCTTCCCCCCGGGGCTCCTCCCGGCGGCCTGCCTGGCGGCCATGTGGAGGGCGGCTGGTCGCGTCCCGGAGGCAGGCCCGGGCGGGTGGAGGGGCCGGGCCCCGGTGCTGGGGGCCTCCCCTCCCCCGTCTCGGCCTGCCAGTCTGCTGGTCCTCCTGGCGCCTCCGGCCTCCCTGCAGGCCCAGCAGCCTCTGGCATCAGGGCTCCCCCGTCTTCCGCTCCTGGCACGGACGTGGCAGCTCCTGGGACTCTCGTCACACGGCCCCACAGGTCTCTGCGCTGCTAAGGCCGTGGCCTCCTCTGTGGGACGGAGGCCGCTCCTCCTCTCGGCCCCAGGCCGAGCAGAGGGGCCGGGGGAGCTGGCTGCGGCTCCCAGAGGTGCGCGCTGTGTGGCCCTGTGGGGAGCAGAGGAAGGAGAGGCCGTCACCCACTTTTAAGGAGATGCTTGGCAGGAAGCCAGCTTAGAGACCGGGAGGAAAGGGGACCCCGAAGGAAGGGCTGGGATGCCAGGAAAGGGTGTTCTGGAGGCTCACTGCCAGGAAGCCATTCCGGATGGACGGCGCCTCACGCCTGACACCAGGGGTGCGCAGGGTGTTAGCTGAAAACGGGGACCTGGCTCCTGAGGCAGGGGCCTGCTTCAGAGATGGCCTTCAGGTGGTACCCAGAAACAACGTCTCACACCAGAAGGTCCGAGCACGGCAGGAGAAACCTCGGGGCTTCCAGCCGCGCCCCCTCCACCTCCAGGGAGGCACCGCCACCCAGGCCACGGGGACACGGACGGCCTGTTACCCTCTCATGCCCAAGGAACAGCCCAGAGGGGCAGGAGAGTGGGAGGGAGCCCCTTATCCACGTGCAGACCCCTCCCCGTCCCTGCAGAGAGCTAGGGGAGGAGCTGGCCTGGGGGCAGAGGGGCAATCGGGGAGGCAGGCTCAGTAAGGAAGGGTTCCGGCCCAGCTGCTGGCTCAGTGAGCTTTGACCTATGAGCCGGGAGGTCACAGTGGATTCCTGGTCAGGGCAGCGGATCCACGAGTCTCATCACTGATGCTTCTCTCCCTCCCTCACTGAAATCGATAAAAATATATTTTGAGAAAAAGAAGTGTTCTGGAAACCGAGAAAGAGATGGAGGAAGTCTCGGGGGCAAGGAGGATGGGGTGGGGCGGGTAAGGGCCGGTAACATGGGGTGCACATCCTACAGGGAGATCGGTGGGTGCAAACACAGCCCCCTCTGCGCGGACCTCGGGGCGAGGGACCCCGGGGCGGGGAGGCGCGCGGGCCACTCGGGCCGGTGTGGAGGCGTTTCTATCCCGGGGTCACGCGGGGGGCAAGCGCAAACCCAAAAGGGGAAACAGAAAGTCCAGGCTCAGGCAGCTTCCTCCAGGGGAAGGAGGGTGACTCCGCGGCCGGTGGCCTCTGCAGGCGGGGCCCCTGGGTGGGGAGCGGGCGCCGCCAGGCTCCGGGCGGGGCTGCAGGAATGGCTCGGGGAGGGCAGCTCGGGCCGGTCCCCGTGGGGCGGGAGGCGGAGGGGCTCGGCCCGAGCCGGGGTGCGGCTCCCGGGAGCGCTGCTGGCGGGAGGGGGACCAGAGGCCACAGGGCGCCGGCGCTCCCCAGGCCCGCCCCACTCACCTGCGGGCGCTGGGCCGCCGCCGCCGGATGTGCCGGCGCCCCGCCCCCCGCCGGGCCGCGCCTCTCCGCCCCACTTCCGGGACGCTCTAGGCACCCCGGAGGACTCGCGTCTCGGTGGCTCCGCAGGAGGCAATGGGCGTGCAGATGGAAGAAAGCGGGGCGTCCTGGGTGACTCTGTGGCCTTGGCCCTGAGGGTGTGCCCCTCGCCTTGGCCGTCCGAAGCATGGGCGCGGGGTGACTGCGCCTTGGGTTTCTTGACGAGCCTTCTGCTGATGGGCTGCCCCAGGCGGACAGCGCTCAGTGCCCCAATCCCCACTCTCCACCCCCAGACCAGGGCGGCCTTTGGCGTGGCGGTCTCTGAGCCCCCTGCCCTTAGCCACATCCAGTGCCCACCCTGTGTCCTTCCTACCCAGACCCTTCCTCAGCTTGAGCCTCATGCAGACCTAACGGTGATTTCTATGTGCGATCTGAGGCTTGTGAGCGAGCGGGCCAGACTTGGAGGAGATGTGGATGTGAGTGGTGCTGTCATGAGTTGGGACGCTGGAGACCTTGGGACGGGGTGGCTAATTTGCATGTGGAACCAATGCCCCCAGCCCGGCTTCCACGTCCTTGTCCCTGGCACCTGTGGACAGTCACCTCACAGGGCACCCGGGACTCAGCAGACTTGGGAGATGGGGACGGCACCCTGGTCACCGGGAGGGCCCAGAGAGGGTGGGGGTCAGGGAAGGCAGTGTGACCAGGGAGAGGGAGATGTGACCCAGACACAGACTGCGTGTGCTTTGTGGGTGAGGCAAGGGCCGGGAGCGGAGTGAGGCGCCCCAGCCTGGCAAAGGGAGGGACAGAGGCTCCCCTGCAGCCTCCGGAGGAGCGGGCCCTGCTGACGCCTGGATTTCCGCTCCGAAGACTCGTTCCCAAGTGTCTGCTGTGTAAGCCCCGCGCTCACAGCCCGTGGTTCCAGCCGGACTGACCCCAGACAGGGTGGCGCCTTCCTGCGCCTTCATTTCCTCCCGGGGCTCCGGGACCCGCCCACCCCGGGCTGCAGCCTCCCGGTCTCCTGCTGACTCCGCACCAGCCCTGGGCCATCCCTCCATGCTGCCCGTTCACTGAGGCACAGGACAGTCACCCACACCCCAGAGCCAGAGCGGGCGGGCTCTGCCCTCCGCAGCCGTGCCACCCTGCCCCGCTCTCTCCTGTCCCCGGGCCAAGCCCCTGGGTCTCCCTGATGCCTGCCTCTGTCCGGAGCGTGCCAGCGCGCCCCGACTTAGTGGCTTGGCACCGCAGCGGCCGGGCTGCTCGGGGCTCCGTGTGCCGGACCTGAGCCTGAGGCAGCGAGGCCTGTCGGGCGGCGGGAAGGGGCTGGACCCTGGGCCCCCCTCAGCGAGTCTCCGGAGTCAGCGGGCTTGTCCCAGGAAGGCAGGCTCTGTCCCTGTGCCCGTCTGCCGGCACCTCCCAAACATGGAAGCACATGCACCCATCCCCAAGGCGCACGGGGCTCCCCCCGGGTCCCCCCATCCCTCTGGGACCTCTGGCCTCGCCTGCAGGACTGAGTCAGCTCTGCCAGAGGGAGGGGTGGAAAGAGAGGACAGGGACAGCACCCCCTGGTGTCCTCAGGGCGGGCAGTGTCCCTCCCCTTCGCCCTTGGGCTGGAGGTCCTCCGAGCCCCTCCCCACTCCCCCCTAACCCCCTCTCCAGCTCTGGAGGCCGAGGGAGGGACGCCTGGGCAGCCTGCCCCTGGGAGAGGCCTGGGGTGATGAGTTTCTCTCAGCAACGAAGGGGCTCAGGCGGAGGGAGCTTGGGAAGCCTGTACCCCACTGGCAGCATGGGGACCTCCTGCAAGCGTGGGATGGGTGTCCACCCAGGAGGTCACGGTGGTCTGCTGGCCGGGGCCTCCTGGGATGGGGGGTGCTCCCAGCAGCCACTCCGCCCCCCGGGGCCCGGCCACCACAGGCGGGAGCAGGAAGCCAGGCCAGGGAGCGGCCAGCCAGTCCCGCTGCGTGGCCTTGGGTGGAGGGACATGAGGAAGCAGAAAGCTGGAGCCCCAGGAGGTGACTGCAGAGCAGAGGGGAGGGGAAGGGGGCGGGGCGAGTCAGTTTGGGGGAGGGAGGCCCTGTCCCCTCCCCCCTCCGCTGAGAGGCCTCCCCCAGCGGCTTCCCCTCCTGCTGAACGAGGAGCAGGGCCGCTCTGCAGAGGGTTGTTACGAGTTCATTTGAGCAGCTGCCCGGAAACAAGAGGGGCAGCCTCGTCACACCCCAGGACCGCAGGGGGCACAGGCGGCAGCAGGGCAGTGAAAAGTGCTGGGGAGCCGGCGGGCTCAGCGGTGCAGCATCTTATGAGGCAGGAGGTCCCGGTTTGTTCCCGGTGAAGGGCACAGGCCCGGGTTGTGCGCTCCATCCCCCGCAGGAGGCAGCCGGTCCCTGACTCTCTCACGCCCTCTCCCTTCCTCTCTGACATCAATAAAAAACATTTAAAAGTGAAGTAAAAACACTAAAAAGCAAGGGAGCGGGGAGGTGTGTTCCTCTTTGATGTTGGAGGGGAAGGGCCGGGCGCTCTGGCGCTCAGAGAGCAGACAGCGGGGGACCTGGTCCCCGCCCTGGGCCTGGAGAGGAAGGTCAGCTGACACCCAAAGCTGTGTCCTCCCGGGCCAGCACGGAGGCCGGCGGCAGGAAGCTGGCCCCGCACACGGGGCTCCTGACGGTGGCCGCTCTCCCTGTGGAGTTTCGTGTTCGGGCCACTCACGGGGTCCCTTCGGCTCTGCCAGGCTGCCCCCCAGCTTGTCGGGTTTGGTCTGCGGTCCCTTTGTCATCCCCCCCACCCCCCCGGTGAAACCAGACCAGCCGTGTGCTTCCGATGAGGCCGGGCACAGGCGGGCACCGGGCACCCACAGGGACACACCAGAAGGCAGGACGGCGGGTCCCACGGCTGTGGGGTCGGGGTCGGGGCCCTCCTGCCCCGCGGTGCTGCCTGCCCCTGGGGCCAATGCAGAAACCGCTCCCCCACTGGTTGGCCCCCAAAGCTCTCCGTGTGCAGACACCACCCTGGGGCAGGCTGGCTCCTGGGCAGGCAGACAGACAGACAGATGCCTGCAGGTGGGCAGGAGGCGCAGGGCACACAGCTGCCAGTGAAGCTGTGCCAGAGCCCTGGCTTGTGTCTCAGTGGCTAGAGCATCAGCCGGCCGATGGGCTGTGGGTTCGATTCTGGGTTGGGCACATACCTACCTGGGCTGCAGGTTCAATCCCCAGCCCCAGACAGGGGGCATGCAGGAGGCTACCCATGGATGTGTCTCTCCCACATCGATGTTTTTCTCTCCTCCTCCTCCTCCCTCCCTCTCTCTCTGACAAACAAGGGGAAAGTATATTTCGGTGAGGCAACGAGGAACCACGCCCCAGAGGGAGGCAGGACAAATGAAAGGTCGGCAACGGAGGGACCGGGGTGTCCCTCGGACGGGGTCCTGCCCCCCAGGCCCAGCCCGGGCTCTGCTCTGGGCAGCAGGCCCCCAGGGGGGCACCCAGGCCTGGCTCAGGCTCTCCTGGCCCGGGGCCCCCCCAGTCACACACCGGGTCAGAGCCTGGCTTTTCTCCTGGGAAATGGGACCGTGTGTGTGTGTGTGTGTGTGTGTGTGTGTGTGGCTGTTCACCTGGCTTTTCTCCTGGGAAATGGGATCATGTGTGTGTGTGTGTGTGTGTGTGTGTGTGGCTGTTCACTGGGATGGCGGCAGGGAGCCTGCTTGCACTGGGGGCTCGGACCCAGCTTCCTGGCCGTCGTGGCTCAGATGCTCCCAGGTCGGGGTGCGCACAGCCGCCCGCCCCTTGGGGGGCAGCGCGGGGCCACCTGAGAGGCTGCTCCGTGGAGAGGGAGGCTGAGGGCCCGCAGCCGTGGGGCTGGCCTGGAGCCCAGCGGCCGGACGCTCTGCAGAGCCGCCGCGCTGAGCCAGCAGCAGCTCCAGCCGCAGGATCAGCACAGCGGAGGGCGCCCTCCAGTCCCCGCAAACACACTGCGGAGCCCGGGCCCTCCCTCCCCGGCCCTCCCGGGACAGGCTCCCGGGCGGTGCCATCGGCCGCTGGGCTGCGTCCCAAGCGCAGACACCTCTGCGCCCGTTGCTGAGTCATGTCTGTTCCAGCCTCCCGCCCCCCAGGCGACATTGGCCCCCGTTTCTAAAGGGGCAAAGGGTGGGAGCGCCTGGGAATGAAGTTGGGGGTGTCAGGATCTTTGGGGGGTACGGGTGAGTGTAGGTGGGGAGGAGTAATGAGGCCTCAGGCTGGGACAGGGAGGTGTATTTGGGTCAGACTGTAATGTGCCCCAAACCCGCCGCTTATGCTTTGGGGGTGTCGCCCTGCGGACGTGGGGAGCCCCCGGAGCCTAGGAAGGTCGGCTTCCCGTAGCGTCTCCCACGGGCGCCCCCGCAGCTGCCTGTGCTCGTTTCTCTGGCGAAGCCCGCGGCCTGGGCCGGGGGCGGGGGGTAAGCGCTGGACCCCGGGACGCCCCTCAAATCAGAGGCCAAATCTCGGGGACCAGTGGGGCGCTCGCTCCGGGCCTGGCAGGGACCCTGCGGGCGGCTATCCGCGACCCAGCCTGCCAGGCGCAGCGCGGCCGCCAGGTGGCGCTGTGGCGCTCCGCGCGCCTCGGCCCCCGCCCCCCCGCCCCCCCAGCACTAACGGCGCCGGCGGCGGAAGGGACCACTGAGGCCGCGGGGGAGCCGGCGGCGCGGGGCGGGGCTCCCGCCCGCAGCGCCCGCGGCCGCAGGCGCGCTCCCCCCTCAGCCGGCTCCGCGAGGTGGTTCGCTCCGGCCGCGGCGCTCGCCGGTTCCGGGCTGGGGCGCGGGGAGCGGGAGGCGCGCACCGGCTGGCCCTGGCCCTGGCCCCGCGGGCGGCGCCGCGATGCTGCCGCTGCTCGTGCCGCTGATGGGCCTGGCGCTCGCCTACTTCGCGCTGCTGGACGGCTGGTACCTGCTGCGCGTGCCGTGCGCCGTGCTGCGCGCGCGCCTGCTGCGGCCGCGCGTGCGGGACCTGCTGGCCGAGCAGCGCTACTCGGGCCGCGTGCTGCCCTCGGACCTGGACCTGCTGCTGCACATGAACAACGCGCGCTACCTGCGCGAGGCCGACATGGCGCGCGCCGCGCACCTGGCCCGCTGCGGGGTGCTGGGGGCGCTGCGCACGCTCGGGGCGCGCGCCGTGATGGCCGCCTCCTGCGCGCGCTACCGCCGCTCGCTGCGCCTGCTCGAGCCCTTCGAGGTGCGCACCCGCCTGCTGGGCTGGGACGACCGCGCCTTCTACCTGGAGGCGCGCTTCGTCAGCCTGCGCGACGGCTTCCTGTGCGCGCTGCTGCGCTCCCGCCAGCACGTGCTGGGCGCCTCGCCGGAGCGCGTGGTGCAGCACCTGTGCAAGCGCAGGGTGAGCCCCCCGTGCGCGGCCCCGGGTGGACCCGTCCCTCGGTGCCCGCCCCTTTGGGGCCCAGAGCCTCCTCCTTCCCCGGTGCCGTTCTTCCTGGGGCTCCCCGGGTCCCCGAATCCCCTCCACACGGGACTGTGCTTGCCCCTCGCCGCTTCCTAGCCCGACCCCTCCAGCCCCAGGCCCTGTGCCCCTCTCCCAGGACCGCGGCCCAGGCCTCTCCCAGCTCGGCGCTGTGTGTCCTGAGTGCGGAGCCGGCCTCTCTGGCCCTCGGTCTGACCGCAGTGTGGGGCGGGGTGCCGGGAGAGGAAGGTGCTGGAGTTCTGAGACCCCTCTCAGGAGCTCAGAGCTGAGCTCTGGGGACGGAGCCTGCGGAGCGGAGAGAAGAGGCCGCAGCGCCGCCTCCCTCCCCGGGGCCTGGGCCAGCTCCTCCCGGCACAGGGCAGCCCCCACCCCCCCCCAATCCTCCCCGAGCCGCCTGGCAACTGGGCCCTGGGGACGGCCAGGGCGCTGCTGCTCTGGGCTGGCAAGGGCAGACTCCGGCTGCAGGCGGGTGCCCACGCCAGGCAGGGCACTGCCCTCCGGGAACAGGAGGGACGCGGCCTCACCTGCCCGCGTCAGATGGGGAAGCAGGCCAGAGGCGGGTGGGAACTGCCCGAAGCTGCAACCGAAGGACCCGGTCTCCCCACCGCCTGGGGCAGACCTCCTGTGTGCCCCTTCCGGTCCGGGAAGCCGGCAGGGCTGGCCATGAGGCTGAGTCCGTGGCTGAGAGCTGAGCGGAGGGCAGAGGCGGGGAGTCCGGCACTACCTGCCCGGGAAGCTGCAGGCCTGGCTGAGGGTCACTGAGCTAATGGGGGCCCCCCTGACGGCACCGCACGGCAGGGACCGGAGGGCCTCGGGGGGCCAGGGGCTGCCCGCCTTCCGGCCTGAGCCCCCGGCCTCCTAGGGGGAGGCCTGGGGCGGCGGGGGGCGTGGGCTGCTGTGGGGGTGGGCGGGCCGAGCCCACTGCCCAGGTCCTGCATGCTGAAGGCTGGCGTGGGGCCCCGGGCCTTGGGGGACAGCGGCTCCCGAGAGCCAGGCCTGGACCCGCACCCCACCCCTCCCCCGTCCGCAGGGAGCTGGGCCCTGGGTGCTCTGAGATTCTAAGATGGTGGCATGTGCCCAGGGCCTGCTCACCCCGGCTCCCACAGCCAGTCTGTGCGGCCTCAACCCCAGGCTGGCTGCCACCTCATCGCAAAGACAGGGCCAGACGGGAGGCCGGGGAGGACAAGGCGTCCTCGAGGAAGGGGGGGCTCGAGACAAGCCCTTGGGGGTGTGCCCAGGCCCTCGGCCCTCCGGCCGCTGCTCTGTCTGCCTCCCAAGGCCTCTGGCTGCTCTGCGTTCCCATCTGTCACCTCCCCACCCGCAGCCTCATTCTAGGGACCGGAGGGCTCAGGCCTGATGGAGGAGGCCGCAGCCTGAGCGAGCACGGGAGAGGGTTAGCCAGGAGGGGAGGAGGTACCGGCCTGCAGGCCAGCAGCAGAGCCTGGAGGGGTGGCGGCAGCACCTGGCCAGGCTGGCCCTCCCTGCACCCCTGCTGGTCGCCATGGCAGCGGAGGGCCCAGGCAGCGGGCCTCACCTCTCCCCCTCCTTGCCCTCCCCCTGCAGGTGGAGCCGCCCGAGCTGCCGGAGGACCTGCAGCACTGGGTGGCCTACAACGAGGCCAGCAGCCGGCTGCTCCGGGCCGAGAGCGGGCTCGGCGAAGACGTGGTCAAGGACCAGTGACCGGCCTTGCCCTCCGCCCCCGCCCTCCGGCCACTACCGAGACCACCGCCCCCGCCTGCGGACACACACCAGCCCACCCCTTCACTCGCTCGGCCGTCCCCCACCCCACATTGAGCCCCAGTGAGCCTCCCGCTGAGCATGGGCCCTGGCCTGTCTGTCCACCGGGCGGAGGGGTGAGTGGAGAGGGAGGCCCAGGGTCCTCGGCATTGGGACTGGGTGGGGTGCCAGGCCTCGGAGCTCAGGGACCACCGGCAGCTGTGCTGGCACCCGTGGGAGACAGTGGGGGAGGGGCAGGGCCGGGGCTGCAGGTGAGGGTGGAGGCCGGGGCGGCGGAGGGCATGGGGCTGCTGTGGGGGTGGCGAGCTTCCCGTAGCTGGGGGTGCCCTCCGCACCCGCCCTCACCTGTCTGCATTCCTCGGTCCCCTCGGGTGTGCTGTGGAGCCACGGGCGGGGCGGGCTGGGGCGGGGCCGCCCTCTCCCTCTGAGCCCTCCCTGCCTCGCACCCTGTTCCGCTGTCCATCTCCCCTTCTTCCCCGGAGGGCTGCTCCCTGGGGGGCTGGGCGGGGGTCTTTTCAGTTTCACCCCAGTGGCCTGGCCTGCAGCTGCCCTCGGGGCTCCCCAGTGGGGCCACACACACACACACACACACTCCAGCCTGATGCCTCCTCCTGCAGCTGGAAAGAGGATGTACTGGCGGAGGCCGGGGACGCACTCAGGCCCTCGGTGTGACGCTGCCCGCTAGCCACGGCCGGCCGGGCAGGCAGCCCAGAGCCGGCCTCGCCGCCCCTGGAGCCGCAGCACAGCCACCTCACGCCTCTGCCCACCGCGCCTTACGCTGCTGGGAACGCTGGGATGTTTGTTCTGTTCATGTTCTGTTCGGAGGAAGCCCGCGATTAAAGGGTCTTCGATGTTCGTGTCTGAGCAGGGTCCTCATTGGGAAGCCCCGAAGCTCGGGCGCTCCCGGGTGTGTTCTGGGTGGTGCAGCCCGGCTGGCAGGGCTCCTGTGAACCGGGGACCCGGCTGGCAGGGCAGGACGGCCCATCCCACAGAGTGTGGGGCCCAGGCAGACAGGAGTCGCCCCAGCCCGGCCCCGCCCGGCTTTCTCGCCTTGGGCCTCGCTGGCCCGTTTCAGGGCGCCCACCGGCCCAGGTGTCCAGCCTTGTCCCGGGGGCAAGTCCTGTGCCCTCAGGGTGCTCGCTCACTCGGAGGCGGTGCCCACAGCCCGGGTCTGCGCCCGGCTCCTGGGGCGGGGGGGTGATGGGGCAGGTCTGCATCCCTGTCTGCCTGCCCAGGAGGGCCTGGCTCAGCTGGACAGACGGGCGGCTGGAGAGCCGGGTGCGGGGCCACGGCTCCTCGCCTCCCGGGCAGCCTGGCCTGCACACAGGAGGGGCCTGGCCTGGGGGTGGGGCTGGGGGAGTGGTGCCAGGAGACAGGAGGCGGGTCAAACAGCCTCGCCTGGCTGGCACCTGGGGCGGGAGGGCGCTGCGGGGAGGGGAGGCGCGCGCGCGCGCACACGCACACACGCACACGCGCGGGCTCCTACTCCAGACACACGGGCAGCCTCTGGGGACAAGCTCTGGGGGTTGGTGCCGGCCCAAGTCCAAGGTGAAGTGAAGGTCCCTCCGCACCGGAGCCGGGCTTCCTCAGACACAGGAGGCGGGGCCTGGAGAAGGGGTGGACGCGCAGGGGCTCCCCCACCCTCCCAGCACACAGGGCCACGGGGACCTCCTCACAGGCTGGCCTGGCGCCCCCTCCACCCAAGTGTCGTGGGAGGCCCGGCCCACTGCCGCCCCTCCTGGCTCTGGGGGTGCGGTGCTCCCCGGGGCCCCACCTCCTGCCCCCCTGCAGCCGAGCCCCTGAGGGTCAGAGGGCAGGGTCCTGCTGGCCAGGGTCCCGCGGGGAGACAGCGGGAGGTGTGGTGTGTTTGGGGGGGGCCCTGCAGGCTTCAGGTGAGGCCCAGACACGCAGGTGAGACGCCCAGAAAGAGACGGAGGCCAGGTGCAGGCGGGCGAGCTTCTTCAGGGCATTTGGGCCGGGGGGAGGGAGGGGGCACTAAAGGGCGAGGCTCAGGAGGGAGGCCAGCGCCAGGGCCAGGGCCGGGGCCGGGCCGCGGGGGCCAGGCGCCCCGTCCACGTTGCACAGGTCGGCGTTACAGCAGGACACGGGCCGTGTCAGGCCGAGGCCGTCCACGTCTGAGGGCTGGCACCTGCTGGCGCAGGCCTTGGTCACCGTGGCGTCCCCCACGAAGGGGTACACTGTGGGCCGAGCACCGCGTCAGGCTGGCTTGAGCCTCCGGCAGGACCCCCCGCCCCCTCGGCCCGCCCCCACCCTCCCCCAGCACCGTGAGTGCCCACGGGGCCAGGCACACGGCCACCGCACGGGTCCTGGGGAGGCCGCACTGGCCCCGGCGCTGCCCCCACCCCCCCGCACTGACCCAGCTCCCGGGAGTAGAGGGTGGTCTTGCACATGGTTTCGTTGGCCTTGCATGTGGCGATGGTCATGCAGCCGGCCGCCTCCGTGGGCTCCTGGCAGCTGAAGCATCGCAGGGCCGCTGCTGGGGCCGGACGGGCGCGTCAGCAGGCCCTGCCCTCCCAGGCCCTGTCCGGAGACCGGGCGGAGGGGACGATGCCACCCAGGGCCCAGGTGCCCGTGTGAAAACGAAGTCCTGGGGCAGCGGGGGCTCCCGGGGTGGTGCCAGGAAGGGACCCAGGCAGGTCCGGTGCACAGCCCAGGGGTGGGGCCCAGCCACTCCCTTTGCCTGCCCCCCTGCACGGAGCCCCCTGACCCACTGGGTGAGGCCACTGGGCGGCGCGGAGTCCCGCTGGCTAACCTGTTTTCCCTCCGCTTACACGTGTGTGGTGGAAGGTGGTGGGAGTTATAGGCCAGGGCTCAGGCACCAGAGGGCACTGGGGTCTGAGGGTCTAGCCTGGCTGCAGCCACTGGTTCCCACCACACACCACACACACACACACACACACACACACACACACCTGCACACACACACACACCTGCACACACACACACACCTGCACACACACACACACACACACCCGCACACACACACACCCGCACACACACACACACTTGCGCACACACCTGCACACACACACACGCACAAACATGCACACCTGCACACACACACACCTGCACACACACACCTGCACACACACACCTGCACACACACACACCTGCACACACACACACTTGCGCACACACCTGCACGCACACACACGCACAAACATGCACACCTGCACACACACACACCTGCACACACACACACCTGCACACACACACCTGCACACACACACACCTGCACACACACACACACACACACACACACACACACACACCTGAGCCACGCCATCTGGCTGGGACCCAGCTCCGCCTGCGGTGGGTGTAGGGCTCCGAGGGGCTGGGCTGTCCCCTCAGCTGCTTTCTCAGGTGCTCACCCCTCTGTCCACCCTCTGCTGCCCCAGACCTCCCTGGTCGGGCCCCGGGAAGGGCAGCTGCCTGGCGGGCACCCAGGGCCTCTGCCGGGGACCCCAGCACCCTCACTGCACACCCTCCCCCCCAGCCCCTCCGTGCTGCCCCCACACTCTTCGGGCCCCCCCCTCCCCCCGGAGGACATACTTAGAGGGATCGGGGAGAGATGAGAGAGAAACAAAGATTTGCACCTTCCCCACCCCCCTGGCGGGAATCAAACTGGCGACCGACCAACTGAGCCACTCAGGCCAGGCAGTCCCCCCCCCCCCCGCACCCCGCACCCCAGCACCGTCCCGCTCTCACCAAGCCGGCCGCAGCAAGCCAGCACCAGCGCCAGCAGCGCCAGACGCGTCCCCCGCATGGTCCTGTCCCGCAGGGTCCAGTCCACTGGGCCTCTGCGCGGCCCAGCCCTGCCGCCGGGACAGGGCCCGGCACAGCCCCGACCGACCGGTCAGCCTGGCGGATTAGGGTGGGGAGCCGCCCGTGTGGGCCCCGCCCTCCTCCCCTGGGCTCCAGGCCCCCAGGGCCGCCTCCACTCCTTCCTCATTCCTCACCCCCCCCCCCCGTGACCCCCTTAGCGCCTGGGGTCCTCCCTCCCCCACCCGGACCCCCTGTGCTGCCGAGGAGAGAGGAGCGGGGCTCCCCACCCGACTCCCACCCCATGGGCACCCCCACTTCAGCTCCAGGGCAGATTCTGGTCTGTGACTCTGGGCCTAATCCCCCCCTTTCCCCGCCCCCGTGCCAGGGCCCCCTCCCAGCTCCTCCGGGGTCACGGGGCGGGAGGCAGTTTGCAGTGACTGGGCGGGCTGCTGCCCAGGCAACTGGCCTCAGCGTGTGCAGCTCTGAGACAAAGATAATGTGCTGGGTCAACAGAGGTCCCGGCTGTGTGTGTGCGTGCAGGGGGGCGGGGAGCAGGTCACCTGGGGACACTCACCCTTACACCCACCTGGGCCTCCATGGCTGCCCCGTGGGAGATGGTGGGAGTTACAGGGCTCAGGCACCAGAGGGCACTGGGGTCTGATGGTCTAGCCTGGCTGCAGCCACTGCTTTCCACCACACACCACACACACACACACACACACACACCTGCACACTGACACACACACACCTGCACGCACACACCTGCATACTGGCACACACACGTACACACACACACATGCACATGGCACACACACACGCGCATGCACATGGCATACACATACACCCCTGCACACTGGCACACACACACCTGCACACTTGCACACACACACATGCACATGGCACACACACACACACCTGCACACTGGCACACACACACCTGCACACTGGCACACACACATGCACACACACCCCTGGGTGCCTGCACCTCAGCGGTCTACCCCTCCATGCACCTGCCTGTGACCTGTGACCCCACTTCACCCACAGTTGCCAAGGCAACCCGGAGTGAGATTGTCATCGCAGCCCTGGGGCCTCTGGCAGAGGGTCAGGCCAGGGTCTTCCTGAGCTGTGCCCAGCCCCCTCGGGGTTCACTGCACCCCCAACTCCAAACCTGCCCCTCTCCCTCCGCACAGCGTGCCCGCCCCGGGCCCCACTTCAGCCCCGCTGCCCTGGCGGTCCCATGTCCCCCCTGGGAGGGCTGTGCCTCGTGGGCGCCGCTCTGGGTGCCAGCCCTGGGCCTGTGCCAGGAGGTGGCCCTGAGCCGGGCGGCGGTGAAGGCGGTCTCCAGAGGGCTCGCCGCACCCGGAGCTGCAGGGGCTGGTGCAGGCGCTGACGGATTGGCTCCCCCCGCCGCACCCCTCCCTCCCTCCTCCTCCTGGGGCAGCCCAGCCCCGGCCTCGCTGTCCTCAGCCCAGGGCTCCGCCTGCTTTCCTCCGAGCACACACCGGCCCGGCACACACCGGCCCGGCACACACCGGCCCGGCACACACCCGCCCCGCACATACCTGGCCCCAGGCGGGCAGCACCCTTCTCCAGTTTCTGCCGAGCCCCTGGGAGGCCCGGCTGTCCTCCCTGCGAAGTCCAGCTCCTGCTCAGGGAGGAGGCCGCCCACAGGGCCTGGGCTTGCCCAGTGGAGGCTGCTTGTGTGCCGCCTCAGTCCCCAGGCCCAGGGTCAGTGTGAGCAGGCCCAGGGCTCAGTGCGAGCAGGGTCAGGGTCAGGGTGACCGGGGTCAGGGTCAGGGTGACCAGGGTGGAGTTGCTCCCTCTGCCCGCATGTTCTCCCCCTGTGGCCGTCTCCTGTGGTGTCTGGGCTGCAGGTGGGAGGTGCCCCGTAGGATAGGCCAGCGGGTTCCCCCAAGGCAGCTGCTGAACCCCTTTCTTCCGAGTCTTTCCGGAAGGACCCCAGCCTGGCTGTGTCCCAGGGACCAGCACCTTCGGGCGGGCGGGCGGGCGGGCGGGCGAGCAGCAGGAAGGGGATGCCATGACCACCCTCTAGCCCCTGCACTTCCCGGGGGCGGGGCCTGGGGCTGCTTGCCCACAGGGCTTCATCCCCACCCCACCCCCACCTCCCCGTTTCCAGGAGCGCAGGCACCAAAGGCCCCGTTCTTCCAGGGGCACCATCGGGGCGGGGCCCACAGCTCTGCACGCCCTGCCGGCCTTCCAGCCCTCCCCTCGCCCCGCCCCCACCCCAGGCCCCCCTGCAGCAGGCTGCCCGCTCAGGAGCAGGGAGGGCCCTGTCGCCCTCAGTGATGGGCAGAGCGCCCCCTTGGGGCAGAGCCGGGCCCACGGACCCTGGGGGAGCTGGCGGGCCTGGGGGAGAAGGCAGGGACCGAGGCGGACAGATGGCAGATGGCGTCCCGGAACGGGAGTGTGACTCCGGGCCTCTGCTCCTCCAGTCAGCTCAGCCCCCTGCCCAGCCCCCTGGGGTCCGAGCCCTCCCTCAGGCTGTCGGCCTGGGTTGCATGCATCCCTCTGGGGGGTCCCCTCCTAAGGCCCGCGCTCCGCCGCCTGAAAACCACTCGGGGCCCTTTGCTGGTTCATCCCCAGCTCTCAGGCCCAAAATAGCCTGGAGTCAGCGCTGATGGAGTCAGGGCCGCACCGCCAAATATAGCCGTGCCCCCCCCCCCCCCCCCCCCCCCCCCCGCCGCCCAAGCCCAGGCGCAGTGCAGGGCCAGCTCCGGCGGGCTGAGTGGGCAGGGACAGGTCCCCCAGCCTCAGGCAGACCCCCTCCCCCCACCCCCATGTCAGGGAACTGGAGGCTGCCCTCGGGCGCTCTGCTGGAGGAGGAGGCCTGGTTGTAGGGTTTTATTGGCTTACAAGGGGGCCCTGTCTCCTGGCCCACACCTGGGCCACACTGGCCAGGCCTCAGGCTCAGGGCTCAGAGTGACGGGGTCAGGGGTCAGAGCGGGCTCCCTGTCCGCAGGTGTGGTTCCCACAAGCCCCCCACTTACAGCGGCGTGTGCAGGCCTGTGCCAGGCGGTACCTTCAGCGAGAGCAGCGTTAGGTAACCCCTCCTCCTCCCCCCTCCCCCTGCCCCCACGCTGACAGCCTCCCTGGACAGCCGGGACTGAGGCCCTCCCCCAGGGCTGCCAGGAAGGGGGGCGCCCCGAGGCCCCCATAAATAGCACAGCACGCTGGGCACCCATCCCGGGCGGACGGAGGGCTGAAGCCTCCGGAAGGGCAGGCCCACGCCCGCCGTTTGACAAGGACAGCGTGGCCGTGGCGGGGGGCGGCCCGAGGGAGGGCTCAGGGCGGGGCTGGGGCTGGAGGCCCAGGTCCTCGGCCGCCGTCCCAGACGTGGCTGGGGGTCGGAGCGGCAGGGAGCTCCGCGGAGGGTGCTCCGCGGAGGGCAGCGGGGCTCAGAGCAGGCCCCAGAGGGTGGCCAGGAGCACGGGGACGAGGGCGGGGGCCCCGGCGGAGGCCAGGCCGGCCCCGTTGCAGAGGTCATACTGGCAGCAGACGGTGGTGGAGGCGTGCTTGGAGTAGCCATCGTACACGGTCTCGAAGCAGCTGGGCACGCAGGACTTGCTCACCTTCATCCTGGTGGGGGTGTAGTCTGCGGGGGCAGGAGGCGGGCTGGCCGGAGAGGGGCGGAGACCCCGGCCCCCCCCCCCAGCAGGCAGGGCGATTGGAGCAGGGTCCCCCTCAGCCCGAGGCCCCCAGAAAGGACCGGGGGGCACCCCTCAGGCTCTCCGCACCCCGGAGCCGCCCCCTCGGTCCCGGGAGGCCGGGCGGGCGCCCTGACTCACAGGTGCGCGTGGTCATGCAGTAGGTGACCATGGAGGGGCAGCGCATGGGGTTGAAGCAGTTCTCGCCGTTGTAGGCACACACGTGGCAGTCCAGGGACTGGGCTGGGGGGCACAGACAGGAGCCTCCTCAGGCCCAGCAGACCCCCAGCCCACCGCCTCCCCCGGCCGAAGAGCAGAGCGAAGGAGAGATGTCAGCGGGGCCCTGCCTCCCTCCCCCGGATCCGGCCCTCCCCATCCTCCCTCCATCCTGCCTCTCTCCTCCCTCCATCCTCCCTCCTCCCCCATCCTCACCCCGTCTTACCCAGAGGCAGGCCCGCCAGGGCCACCAGGAACAGGGCGAGCAGGGGTGCCATGGCTGGGCCAGAGGGCAGAGCGGGCGTGGGGAGTGGACAGTGGCCGGCCCTCGGTTCCACTCAGGCAGGACTGGGGGGCACAGCGGGCGCTGGACCGCCCCGCCCTCTGGAGCTCCTGGCCCGCAGCCCTGCACAGAGGGGGCGAGGATGGGTGCTGGGCGGCTGCCCGCAGGCCGAGGAGGGTGTCAGACAGGCCTCCGGAGGGGGCGTCACCATCAGAGGAGCAGACAGGAGGAGGTGGGCCTGGCGGGGAGGCAGAGGGGCCCCGAATGCCAGCCCCAACCCACACGCTCGCTACCCAGGGTGTTCACACAGCGGCCTCTGGGGGCTGGCACACAGCCCTGTCCCCACCCAGGCCCGGGGCGCAGGGCGACTGGCCGAGCTCCCTCCCCGTTCTTGTTTGTTTCTGGGGTGCCCCTGCGCGTTCCCCAGTTCCTGACACTCTCCAGACCCAGGGGGTCCCTCTCCCAGGAAGACCCCAGAGGCCACTCTGGCTTTCAGGCCTGAGCCCTGCCGCTGCGAGAAGCCTCCGGCCGGGCCTCCTTCCGGGACCTCCCTGGGCAGCGCCCCCTCCCTGGGCAGCGCCCCCTCCCTGGGCAGCGCCCCTCCTGGGCAGCGCCCCCTCCCTGGGCAGCGCCCCTCCTGGGCAGCGCCCCTCTGGGCTGCCTGGGTGTAGGGGCAGGGACTCCGGCGCCCGGCAGACTCCCTCCCGGACCAGCCACCGGCTCCTGCTGTTTGGGGCGTCACCTCGGATGCCGCAGCCCCGGCCGCCCCCCGCCCCCCCAGTCCCGCCCGGAGACCAGGCCCCGCGGAGTGCGGGGTGACCTCCGCCGTGACCTTCACACTCACCGCGCCGCTGCCTCCGGCCGGGCCGAGCGCGTCCGTGCGTCCGTGCGCCCGGCTCCCCACGCCGCTCCGCGGACCCGCGTGGGCTCCGCAGGCCCCGCCCCGTCCCCGCCTCCAACCCGTCTCCCCCTCCCCTGCCCGCACAACCCGTCCGTACGCCCCGCCCACACCCGCCCCAATGCGCCCGCCCCCAGCGCACCCCAACCCGCCCCCAGCGCCCCGAGACCCGGACTCCGCCCGCCCGGCCCCGCTCTCGGGCGCTCGGACCGGCCTGGCGTCAGGACGCTGCGGCGCCGGGACAGCCGCCGCCCCCACACACCGGCCCCGCAGACGCTCCCGCCCCCGACATCCCCGCCCCCCCAGCCGCAGGGGGACGGGGGGGGCACCGCTCCCGGAGGCCCGGCCCCCCCAGCCGCAGGGGGATTGGGGGGCACCGCTCCCGGAGGCCCCCCCAGCCGCAGGGGGACGGGGGGGCACCACTCCCGGAGGCCCCCCCAGCCGCAGGGGGACGGGGGGGCACCGCTCCCGGAGGCCCCCCCCAGCCGCAGGGGGAGAAGGGGGGCACCGCTCCCGGAGGCCCCCCCAGCCGCAGGGGGAGAAGGGGGGCACCGCTCCCGGAGGCCCCCCCAGCCGCAGGGGGAGAAGGGGGGCACCGCTCCCGGAGGCCCCCCCAGCCGCAGGGGGAGAAGGGGGGCACCGCTCCCGGAGGCCCCCCCCCCAGCCGCAGAGGGATTGGGGGGGCACCGCTCCCGGAGGCCCCCCCCTGCCGCAGGGGGATTGGGGGGGCACCGCTCCCGGAGGCCCCGCCCCCGCCGCCCCCCTCCAGCTCTGTCCGGCCCGGACCCGCCCCGCCCGCCCGCTGGGCCCCAGCCCATCCCCCACCGCACGGTCCGCACTAAAGACTGTTTTTGCTGTAACTTTACCAACATTCAGCTTTGGCTTATTTTAGGCAAAAATAAGATTTTCAGGGGTCCCAAAAGTTTCGTGTTTTTTTGTTTGTTTTTGTTTTTAATGAGAAGGAAAGGACAGGCCCTGGCCGGGCGGGCAGCTGGTTAGCACTGCCCCCTCCCTCATTCCAAGGGGCGGGTTGGAGGACCCACCGCTGAACAACTCCATGTGTGCCCCCCCAACAGCGATCCATGGCCCTGGCCGGTGTGGCTCAGTGGGTGGCGCGTCAGCCTGCGGACTGGAAGGTCTGGGTTCGATTCCGGCCAAGGGCACGTCCCTGGGTTGCAGGCTTGATCCCTGCTGGGGGGCCTGCAGGAGGCAGCTGATCAATGATTCTTATCTTTGATGTTTCTATCTCTCCCTCTCCTTTCCTCTCTGAAATAAATTTACATTTTAAAAAATAAAAGCAACCGATGCTTTTTAAAAAAGGAAAGATAGCAGGAGTGACTGCACTCACATCAAGCAAAGTGGGTTTGAGAGAACAGAACCAGGGATGAGGGGGAGCTAAATTAACCTGCTTTGGTTTTTTTGTGGGTTTTTATCTTTCTTGCTGAAAGTATTACACACGTCCTCTCCTTCCCCCATGAGCCCCCCAGCCCGCCCCCCCCCCGGGCCCCAGCCCTCCCCCCGGCCCCACCCCGGCCTCAGCATCTTTCCTGCGGACCGGTGGTGGAGGATTCCTTCCAGTGGACAGGCCTCCTGGGACTGACCCCTGTGGACGGGGTGAGCGCGCCCCCTGCTGGCCCCAGGCGGCATTTCGGTAAGGCTCCTTTTCCTCAGTTTCAGTCCCAGCACAACGGCCTACTAAGCTCCGACTGCGGAAACTAGAACAGATCGGGCAAGTCAGACCCAAAGGGCAGAATAAAGGAGATACGAGAGCACAGACACCAGCAAAGCAAAGACAACAGAGAAGCCTGGCTGTTTCTCAGCGGTTAGAGCGTCGCCCGCTGATCTGAGGGTCAAGGGCAGGCACCTGGGCTGCAGGCTGACCCCGGGCCCTAGTCCGGGCGCGTGCAGGGGCAACCAATCTCTCTCAGGTGGAGGGTATTCTCTCTCTCTCTCTCTCTCCTCCTTCCTCTTCCCTTTCCTCCTCCTCCCTCCATCCCTCACTCCTACTTTCTCTAAAAAATAAATGAAAAAATTAGCCTCGGGTGAGAATTAACAAAAAAACAACAACCAACTGACAAACAACAAAACACAGTAGAGAAGATCAACCAACCCAAAAGCTGATTCTCTGAGAACAGCGTGCAGTTTTTATTTTTATTTTATATATTTTTTATTGACTTTTTTACAGAGAGGAAGGGAGAAGGATAGAGAGCTAGAAACATCGATGAGAGAGAGTCAGCGATCAGCTGCCTCTTGCACAACCCCCACCGGGGATGTGCCCGCAAACAAGGTCCATGCCCTTGACCGGAATCGAACCTGGGACCTTTGAGTCCGCAGGCCGACGCTCTATCCACTGAGCCAAACCGGTTTTGGCTTTATTTTTATTTTTTAATATATTTTATTGATTTTTTTTTACAGAGAGGAAGGGAGAGGGATAGAGAGTTAGAAACATTGATCAGCTGCCTCCTGTACACCCCCTGCCGGGGATGTGCCCGCAACCAAGGTACATGCCCTTGACTGGAATCGAACCCGGGTCCCCTGAGTCTGCAGGCCGACGCCCTATCCACTGAGCCAAACGGGTTTCGGCTATCCTTTCTTTAAAGTGTTTTGTAGATTCACTGGAATGCTCTTAGTAGGAAAATTTTAAAATACAATTTCAGCCCTAACCGGTTTGGCTCAGTGGACAGAGCATCAGCCTCTATGGACTCAAAGGTCCCAGGTTCGATTCCGGTCAAGGGCATGTACCTTGGTTGTGGGCACATCCCCAGTGGGGGGCGTGCAGGAGGCAGCTGGTCGATGTTTCCCAGAACCCGGGCAGCGGGCCCAGAACCCGGGCTGTGGGGCTCAGACCAGGGCCAGGCGTCTTCAAACTACGGCCCGCGGGCCACATGCGGCCCGCAGAGGAGTCTGATCCGGCCCGCCAGGTTTTTTGGGCAGTGAGCGCAGCCAAGGTGTTACAGTAGGAATTAATAGTTCATACAGTCCGGCCCTCCAGCTCTCTGAGGGACCGTGATCTGGCCCCCACTTTAAAAAATGTAGGGCATCAGCTCTGCGTTTCTTTTCAGCGTAGAAAAGAGGGACCTGAGCAGTAAGGCGCCAAGGATGGCACAGAGGGCAGCGGGCTCGGCCAGTGGCACTGCTGGACCAGGCCCTCAGAGGCTGTGCTCTTTCTTGGCACACAGCCCCCGACTCCCTCTCTCCATCGGGGTTCCGGTGGCCGGTGGGGGTGCAGGGCTCCCCTGCAGGGACTGAGCCCAGGTAAGGGGACTGACCATGGCCCCCCTAGGCCGTCAGTGTCTGCTCAGCGCCAGGCAGCGGAGCCCGAGGGGCCCAGAACGGCCAGGGGAGGGGGTGTGAGGGGCCTCCTCCCTGACCCCCCCGCCTGTGCTCTGCCCTCGCCCGGGTCCGGGAGCTGCCTGGGGAAGGGGTGACGTGGCAGTCCAGTGCAGCCGTGCTCGCCACCGGGGTCCTGTGTGGCCGGGCCTCCCCACCCCCAGGACACAGGCACAGACGGTTTCCAAGCGTTTATTCGATGGGTTTCAGTATAAAAGTCACGGGAGCCGAGCGGAGAGGACGGGGTCGGGCGGCGTGGGCGGGGCAGCGGGGCTCACAGGCCGAGGCCCGCGGTGAGGGCCAGGAGGCCCAGCGCCAGCCCCAGGCCCAGCGCGGCGGGCGGGCGGGGCGCGCCGCTGACGAGCCTCTCGTTGCACAGGTCCTGCTGGCAGCACTGGGTGGCGGCCGCGCCCCCGCTCACCTGGCCCGGCTGTGTGTAGGTGGCCCGGCAGGTGTCGGCGCAGTCCTTCTCCACCAGGTTCCCCGTCAGGTGCTCCACTGCCGAGCGAGCGAGCGAGCGAGCGAGAGCGCGGGCTGGTCAGGCCGCCTCCGAGCCCCACCCCGCCCGCCCGCCCGCCCGCCCCGCGTGCGTCCACAGCACCCGGCCTAACCCAACGCCCCCCCCCGGGACAGTCTCTCCCCCCGGGACGGCCCCCACCCTGGAATGGGATGGCCCTCAACCCCAGGACGGCCCCCCCAACCCCGGGACGGCCCCCCCACCCCGGGACAGTCCCCCCAACCCCGGGACGACCCCCCACCCCCGGACAGCCCCCCCACCCTGGGACAGCCCCCCACCCCGGGACAGTCCCCCCAACCCCGGGACGGCCCCCCAACCCTGAGGCGGCTCCCCCACCCCGGGACGGTCCCCCCACCCCGGGACGGCCCCCCCCACCCCGGGACGGCCCCCCCACCCTGGGACAACGCATGCATGCTTCCCGGACAGTCCCCCCACCCTGGGGACAACCCCCCGGAACGCCCCGCCCCCAGGACGCCCCGCCCCGGCCCCGCACTCACCGCTGGTCATGGTGCGGCAGAAGCGGGCGCTGGCGGGGCAGCTCTGCGGCTTCTTACAGTTGGTGGAGCTGCTGCACACGTGGCAGCGCAGGGCCCGGGCTGGGGGCGGCAGAGGCGGGGTCTCAGCCTGGACCCTCAGCCCCGGGCTCCCCGAGGACAGGCCCCTCTGGACAGCACCATGTGCCCCCGTGCCTGAGGCCAGCCTGGGGGCCCCCGGGACCTGCAGGGCCTCAGAGGGAGGGGGCCGGCCCGGTCTGCAGAGCGTGGGGACTGTGAGCAGCGGCCAGTAGGGGGTGCACTGGAGGCCTGCTTCCCGGCCTCGTTCTTGGGGACTCCCTCCTCCAGCCCGGGCTGTCCCAGGGCAGGTGCCCCCTCAGGTGAGCCCGTGGCTGCCTGCCTAGCCACGCAGGAGCTGGCTGTCCCCGGCCGGAAGGGCTGGATGGGGAGCCGTCTCCCGTCCCGAGAGGCCGTCTGGGACTCCCTGATTCCCTGATTGTCAGTCTGAGCGTGGAGACGGCTGGTTTTAACCCTGGGTCCAGCCCGGCCAGCCCGGCCAGCCCGGCTCAGGCGTTGACCCAGGAACCAGGAGGCCACAGTTGGATCCCCAGTCCTATGTCCGGGTGGGGACTCCATCCCCAGTGGGGGGCATGCAGGAGGCAGCCCATCCATGATTATTTCTCATCACTGATGTTTCTATCTCTCTCCCGCTCCCTCCCTCTCTGAAATCTATAAAAATATTTAAAAAATTAATAAATAAATTCTGAGTCCAGCACCCCCACAATCTCAGGATCCTCTGAAACTGTCAGGGTTCGCAACTCCACGCTCTGGCCCCAGCCCTGCCTGGGGCGCCCTCTCAGCCTGCCCCCCCCCCCCGCCCCGGCCCCCCGCCCGCCTGAACCCGGGCCCCCCACCTGGGCCCAGGGCCGCAGCCAGGACGACGAGGAGCAGCAGGGCTGTCTTCATGGCGGTGTGGTGCGTGGGGAGCTGGGGCCTCGCCTCCGGAGGCCTTATAGCCCGGACGCCGCTGAGGGCGGGGCAGGTGGGCAGCCAGCCAGGCCGTGCCTCCAGCGGGACCTCCCCTCCCGCGGCCACGGCTGCTGCCCACAGCGCCCGGTCCCACCCCAGGGTCACGGACCGGGTCAGCACCGGTGCCGTGCGGGGCCCAGAGCTGTGCCATGGCCCTGCCTCTCGGGGTCTGGGCTCGGGGCCCCTGGGCGGTGCAGGCAGAGCCTGGGAAGGACCCCGGGGAAGCTGGTGTCCAGCTGAGGTGGCAGGCGGGTGGGGGCAGGCGGGGTGGGCATCGGGGGCGTGGCTGGGTGACTAGGGCCTCTGCGCCAGGCAGTCCTGCGGGAGGGGGTGTGTGTGGGCCCTGTGGATGGTGAGGGGGGCAGGCCCAGACAGCTAAGCCCCAGGTTTGCCCCAACACAGCCCATCACCCAATGGACACACCAGCAGCGGGGGAGGGGGGGAAACCGAGGCTCCTGGGAGCCCCCTGGTGCAGGCTGCTCAGAGCTGGGCTCAGACCCCCGTCCTTCCGCCCCGCCCGGCGCGCCAGCCGCTGTGCCACGCGGGTGGAGTCAGGGCCGCATCCTGGGTGGGCCTGCCTGAGGCGCGGGCGGGCAGACCTGCCTCCGGACTGGGGAGCAGGAGGGGTGCGGCCGGAGCCCCCGGCCTGCGTCAGCCTCCGGACCCATGGGGAGGCTGCGGGGCTGCCGGGCCTGGCTCCCAGGGGCTTGGTCAGGGCAGCGGGGGTCTCGCTGGACAAGGCTGGTCCCGTGGGGCCCCCTGTCCTCACCCAGAGTCCGGAGGCCCCCGGCACTCTCTGGCAGCCCCGTGCGGCCGGGGAGCGTGCCCGGGCCTGGGAAGCAGGGCACGGGGCTCGGTGACGGGGTGCTGACTGGCCGGGGGGGGGGGGGGGGAATGCAGGCGGGAGGAGGGGTGACTCACTGGGGCCATGGGGCAGGGAAGCTGCTGGAATAACTGGTTGGGGACCTGGAGGAACCCCAGGGTCCAGGACATCGGGCGGAACGAGGTCCCGGGCATGAGGCGCCGGAGCAGAGGCCTTTGTCCCTGACAGCTGCCCCTGTGCCGGTGCCCGCCCGGGCCTTCGTCACAGCCGGGCAGCGACAGCCCAGACACCGCTGACGGGGGCAGGAGCTCGCAGACGCCCGGAGTCACTGAGACGCTGCAGGCGGTGACCTGGCTCTGCTGTCGGAGGCAGGAGGCGGGGGCAGAGGAGCTGCCATGACCCGGAACACTGGCCCTCGTTACCGGTCAGGGACGAGGACCAGAGAGGGCCCTGCTGGCTCCAGGTCCCCAGGATGAGGCAGCATCAGGAAAGTCCCCCCCCCCCCCTCCTGTCACCGCTTTCCAGAACCCGTGCCCTCTCTCCCAGCCCTGGAGGCAACCCTGTTCCCAGGCCAGGCGGTGCCCGCAGAACGCTGGCATCATGCAGAGGCCGCACAGGCCCGGGCGGCTCCCCTTCCTGTCCCCCGCCCTCTCCGCAGGCCGGCCTCGCCGTGAGTCAGGCGGTCCCGGGCCCTGCTCCCGGGATGCACACGAGGCCGCCTGGCCCGGGGCCACCGCCAGGAGTGGGGGTGGGCCAGCCCCTCCTCCTGCCAGAGGCACCTTTGCACAGGGGCCTGGGGCCTGGAGGGCCCGTCCTCGTTCTCCCTGGGACCTTGGCCTTCGATGCTGGGCTGCTGGGAGCACTGGTGTCCTGCGGCTGGGACTCAGGGCCGCCCTGCCACAAGGAAGCGGCCCCACAGCCCTTCCCTGCCCCGGGGCGCAGCCCGTTCCCTGGTCACAGGCAGCCGTTCCCTCTCTCAGGCGCGGCCCATCCCTGGGAAAACCCGGTTCCAAAGGCTGAGACACAAACCGGTTCTCAGGCGAGGCAGGCAACGCTCTGGGCCGAGCCCCACAGGGTCCCTGCCATGCCAGCCCCCCGGGGTCCTGCTCTGAGACCATCCACCCACCCACTCATCCATTCATCCATCCACCATCCACCCATCCATCATCCATCCATCCACCCACCCATCCATCCACCCACCCATCTATCCACCCACCCATCCATCCACCACCATCCACCATCCATCCATCCATCCATTCATCCATCCACCATCCATTCATCCATCCACCATCCACCCATCCATCATCCATCCATCCATCCACCCACCCATCCACCCACCCACCCATCCACCCACCCATCCATCCACCCACCCATCCATCCACCCACCCACCCATCCATCCACCCACCCATCCACCCACCCATCCACCCACCCACCCATCCACCCACCCACCCACCATCCACCCATTCATCCATCCACCATCCATTCATCCATCCACCATCCACCCATCCATCATCCATCCATCCACCCACCCATCCACCCACCCATCCACCCACCCACCCATCCACCCACCCATTCATCCACCCACCCATCCACCCACCCACCCATCCACCCACCCACCATCCATCCATTCATCCATCCACCATCCACCATCCACCCATTCATCCATCCACCATCCATTCATCCATCCACCATCCACCCATCCATCCATCCATGCATTATCCACCCATCCGTCATCCATTCATCCACCCATCCGTCTGTCCAGTCACCCACCTGCCCAGCTCCTCATCCACTCACACTCGTCGGACCCTCCAGGAGTTAGCTGCGATGGTGTTTCTGCCTTCTCCCCCTCTCCCCTTTCTTACTGACGTGCCTGCCCCGGGGAGAGAGCCCAGTGACTCAGAACCATGAGTGAGTCTGGCAGGCCTCTGAGAGCCTGGGGTCCACAGGGTGGTGGGAGGCTCCGGACTGGCCACCCGATGGGCAGACCTGTGCCTCTTGCTGAAGGTGATATGATGAAGGGGGGCCCCAGAGGACACCCCTGACCCCAGCCCCTGACCCCAGCCCTCTCCAGGGAAATAAGTGTTGTCTGTAGACACGTGCTCTGCCGTCTGCCCGTCTGTCCACCCAGGCCCTGGCACCAGAGCCTCTTGCCCCGAGTGTCAGTCCCTCTCTGAGGCAGGCAGCCCCCTCACCTGGTCCCCCGTCCCTAGGGAACGGAAGTGCCCCTCCCGCTGGGTGCCATCACTCTTGTTCTTAAATATTTAATGTCACTCTTGTTTGTGCTGACTTCAGAGAGGCAGGGAGAGGGAGCGAGAAACACCGGTGATGAGAGAGGATCCCGGGCCGCCTGCCTCCTGCACGCCCCACAGGGGGATCGAGCCCACCGTCTGGGCCCGGTTCCTGGGTGGGCGCTCACCCACTGCGCCCGCCCACGCACTCCCAGACAACCTGGCATTTAACAGGATGTTTAGCAGCAGCTGGTGGAGTTCCGGGGCTGGGACACTGTCCTCCCGCGTGTGAGCCGGGACCTCGGACCCCGCTTCCCCACCCGCCGTGCGCCCAGGCTCGGAGGGGCCGGGCTGTCTCCGCTCCGGCCGCGGCCGGCGCCCGAGCCCAGGGGCGCTCTCCGCCCCGGGGCCCTGGGACCCGCTCTGCACCTGGTCCTGGTCCAGGGCTGGTGTTTGTGCAGCTGCTCCGGGCGTGGGACAGGCGGGAGGAGGTGGGTGCAGCTGGGACTCCTCACCACAGCCCGGAGCTTAGAGGGGCGTGTCCTCAGCCTGGGAAAGTTGGGCGGGCCGGCCTGGTGGCTCCGGAGCGCCCGCCGGAGACGGCACCTGCGGAGGAGGGGCTCCGACAGAGGAGCGCCCCCCGGCGGGCCCGGCCACACGAGCTGGGGGGTGTGGCGGGGGCCGTCACCCCCAGGCCCACGCAGGCGGCTGCTCAGCCCGCACTCTGGCCCAGAGGAGCACGTCCCAGCCTGACACATGCTGCCCACGCCACCCGAGGCTCCCTGCCCAGCAGCCAGTGGGGCGGGGGGGGGGGGGGCCTTTGGGGCAAAGGCAGCTCCTGCCCTGCTGCCTGGTGTACCCGCTGCCCCTCGGGGCGCCCGCGTTGGGGTCTCCTGGCAACCCCCAGCCCTGCCGACCTCCGGGCCTTCACACCCGCTGCCCGGCCGTCTTCCTGGGTCCATGGCGGCCACCACCTCCCTCCCAGAGGCCGGCGCCCCCATGGCCCGGCCGGGGCCCCGTCTGTCCTGTCACTGTGGGTCCCAGTGCCCGTGGGACCCTGGCAGGCAGGGCGCCCGGAGTGCTGATGTGACGCCGTGGGCAGCGGGGGCACAGCTCCCTGCCTCCGCTGCCCGTGGGGGGGGACCACTGTCGTCGTGGAAACCGTCTCCTTGCCCCGCCCCGGCTTCTGAACACAGAAGCTCTGGGAGAGGAGGTCAGGGCTGTCACTCAGAGGCCCAGGGGTTCAGCTGAGACTTGCAGGGATGGGCCCCCCATCCCCCCGCCAAGCAGGCAGGAGGGAAGTTTCCACCAGGAGGCCGAGTGGGGAGCCCAACCCTGAGCCCCAGCTTTTCTGCTGGGAGGGCCCCGCCCAGACCCTGTGCCAGCCTCCTCCCGGGCCTCTGGAGCCACAAGTCTGGCTGCGGAGGGAGGTGGGGCCCCCCCGAGGGAATCCGGCGTGTCAGGCCGCCTGGGCCTCAGAAAGCCCCGCCCGTGTGGCTCAGTGGATAGAGGGCCGGCCTATGAGCCACAGGGTCCCGGGTTCTATTTCCGGTCGGGCCCAGGCCCGGTTGCAGGCTCCACCCCCAGCGTGGGGTGTGCAGGGGGCAGCCGGTGCCGGGCCCTCTGCTCGCTGATGCTCTCTCCTCTCCCCTCCTCTCTGGAGCAATGAGCACGTGAAAGGGAGAAGGCCCGCGTTCCTGTTTGAAGAGGAGAGAAGCCACGGCCCACACACAGCCTCCAGGACAGAGGGCTCGGCCTTTATTCTGCTCCAGAGCCTGGCCCAGCCCACCCGCCTGCCCCAGGGGCCCGGGGGCGTGAGGGCGGGGCCGCGGGCTGGGAGGGGGGAGGCCTGAGAGGCCAGGAGACCGGCGGAGCTGGTGCGCCTCCCGCAGGCCGGCCTGCGCGGGAGGCCGGCAGGCGGCACGGCCGGGGCTCCTCGGGGCAGGCTGGGCTCACCGGGCGGCCCAGAGCAGCGCCCACAGCA